CATAGTCGGGTGCCACCAGGCTGTAGCAGGTGTTTATCAGCTTGCTGCTGACCGGGGATTCGCCATTGAGCAAACGGGTAATCTGTACCGCGCAGAGTTTTGCCTGTGCATTGGCTGCAAATGCGGATTTGGGCATCGCATTGGCGATTGCTGCATCACCAATCACATGGATGTCCGGCTGCAGCGTAGATGCAAAAGTGAGCGGCTCAATCGGGCACCAGCCAGAGCGGTCGGCAACACCGGCCAGTTGTGCAATAGCCCCGGCTTTTTGTGGCGGAATGATGTTGGCCACATCCGCCTGCACGGTTTCAAAGTCTGTGATAACAGAGCGGTTGTTCGCCTCAACGGCAGTCACCGTTGCGCCATCTGATTCGCCCTGCCATTCAATGATGTCGCCGTAAAGGGTTTGCCAGGCTGACATGAACAGGGGTTTCTTCGAAAAGCTGTCTTTGCTGTCAAGAATGAGCATTTTAGCGCGTGGGTTGTTCTGTTTCAGGTATCCCGCAATGAGACTGGCCCGTTCGTAGGGGCCAGGAGGACATCGATAAGGTGATTTCGGTACGGACATGACCACCAGGCCACCTTGCCGCATGTTACGCAGTTGGTCACGCAAAAGCGTCGTCTGGGCGCCGGCTTTCCAGGCATGTGGTAGAAGTTGGGCGGCGGCTTTGTCGTAGCCTTGCAGTGCCTGCCAGTCCAGGTCTATCCCTGGCGCCAGGATCAGTTTGTCATAGCCCAGCTTTTCGCTGTTGCGCAGCGTGACCGTGCGGCGCTCTGGATCAACGTCCACTGCGTATTGGTGAATGACATTAACCCCGACACCATCCAAGCCGGCGTAGCTGAACTGTTGCTCGGTGATCTCGCGGTGGCCACCAATCACCATGTTGCTGAGCGGGCAGGCGGTGTAGGTGGGGTTTGCTTCGATCAGCGAAACCGATAAATGCTGATTCAGTCGGCGCAGTTCCCGCGCCACGCTTGCACCAGCAAATCCGCCTCCAATGATTACAACCCGCGCCTGGCTTGCATGACCCTGGGCCATCACTGAAGCCGCGAGGGACGCGCTGCTGTATTTAAGCCAGTTGCGACGTGAAATCATGTTGGGTTGTTTACCGAGAACCAGGCGGGTGTTTTGCAAAAGCGCTGGCCATCACTGCTGCGAGCTGCTCAAGTTCCGCGGGTGTGTAGCCACGGCTGATACGATTCATGACGGTGCCATTTAACTCACCGCTGTGAAAGGCTTTTAACTTGATTGCAATATCCAGCTCAGCTGTTGCGCTGAATGCGACAAGGCCGGTGGCTGGGGTGCCTGGTTCAGCGTGGCACCCATAACATGCCTGCGTGCTGATGGCGGCGGCTGATTTGCGATCAGCCGCTTTCATATCGGCTGCCGCTGTTGCTGACGCAAGCAGCAGCAGCACGCTGTAGCCCAGGTCCGTTAGTTTCACGCCTTGCGCAGGTTTCTGCCTTTCAGAGGCACGTTACGAACCCGATTACCGGTTGCGGCAAAGATGGCATTCAGAACTGCCGGCGCCGCCACAGCGATGGTCGGTTCACCCACACCGCCCCAGAAACCACCTGAAGGCATCACTATGGTTTCAACTTTTGGCATCTCAGCCAGACGCATAGATGAGAACGTATGGAAGTTGTCCTGCTCGATTTCGCCATCTTTGACTGTACATTCGCCGTACAACAGAGCAGACAGGCCGTAAACAAACGAGCCTTCCACCTGGGCCTCAATCTGCTGAGGATTAACTGCATAACCCGGGTCGGTAGCCGCCACGATGCGGTGCATTTTCAAAGCGCCTGCCTCATCAACGGACACTTCCGCGCACGCTGCTACATAGCTGCCAAAGGCGTAACAGGTAGCCAGGCCACGGTGCACGCCCGGTGCTGCAGGTGTGCCCCAACCAGCACCTTCAGCGGCGGCATTAAGCACCGCCATGCCTTTAGGGTTGTCTTTCATCAGGCGCTGACGAAACAGCAGCGGATCAACCTCTGCTGCATGCGCCAGTTCGTCCATGAAACACTCCATATAAATGGCGTTCTGATTGACGTTAACGCCGCGCCAGAATCCCGGTCTGATATGGCTGTTGCGCATGGCGTGATCGATCAGCAGATTGGGCACGCTGTAGCTGATGGCCTGGTCACCGGAGGGTAACAAGGCTTGAAACACAGCAGGGTCTTTGCCGTCCTGCAACCCCTGCGGAATCAGCGTAGCCAGAATAGACTGGCCGGAGATGCGCAGGTGTAAAGCGGTCAGGTTACCGTCATCATCCAGACCACCTTCAAGTCGTGCCTGGGTGATGGGGTGGTAAAACCCATGTTTCATGTCTTCTTCCCGGGTCCACATCAGTTTGATGGGCGTGCCCGGCATGGTTTTGGCGATTTTCACCGCCTGATTAATATAGTCAGGTGCGCCGCGCCGGCCAAAGCCGCCACCCAGCATGACTTTATGAACTTCACATTGCTCAATCGGCAGATCAGCAGCTTCAGCGGTGGCTGCCAGGGCTGATTCACCGTTCTGAGTCGGGCACCAGACCTCGCAGGCGTCCTTGGTCCACACTGCTGTCGCGTTCATCGGCTCCATGGTGGCATGGTTCAGAAAGGGATAGCTGTAGGTGGCTTCAATACGCTTGGCAGCTTTTGCCAGGCTTTCTTTGACATTGCCGTTTTCATTGCCCACAAAGGCCTGCTCCGCGGTCAACCCTTCAACGATATCTGCAACGATATCCGCCTGGGACACGTTTGCGTTTGGACCATAGTCCCATTCGATGTCCACAGCGTCCAAGGCGGTTTTTGCCTGCCACCAGGTGTCAGCAATAACGGCAACGGCGACATCGTCGACATCGACAATGGATTTAACACCAGGCATGGCCTTTGCTTTTGATGTGTCAAAAGAAGCGAGTTTTCCACCGGTAACAGGACAGGCTTTGATCGCCGCGTTCAACATCCCCGGCAGGTTGAGATCTGAACCGTAGATCTGTTTGCCGGTGGTTTTCTCGATGGTATCCAGACGAGGCAACGGCTGACCGATGACCTTCCAGTTTTTTGGATCTTTCAACGGCACATCAGTTGGGGGTACCAGCTGAGCAGCTGCGGTGGCAACTTTGCCGTAGGTAGTCGTGCGCTTGCTGGGTGTATGCGTAATGACGCTATTGGACGCCGTGCATTCGCTGACGGGCACCTGCCATAAACCTGCAGCTGCTTCGATTAGCATCATGCGTGCCGCCGCACCACCTTCACGAACGTATTGATGGCTGCCACGAATACCGCGGCTGCCACCGGTAGCAAAGCTGCCCCAGACTCTGTTGCGGGCAACGTTCTGGCCAGGGGTTGGATATTCCCAGGTTACTTTGTCCCAATCACATTCGAGTTCCTCCGCAACCATCTGAGCAAGGCCAGTGAGTGTGCCCTGACCCATTTCGGACCTTGCGATGCGTATGATCACGGTGTCGTCAGGCTGTACAACAACCCAGGCGTTCACTTCTTCGGTAGTGCCTGCTGCTGTTTCTGCATTCACGGGCAATGACATGCCCAGGGACAAGCCTGCACCGCTGAGTGCGCTGGAGATTAAAAACTTGCGTCGGTTGAGAGCAAGATTTGGCGAGGTATTGGTTGAATCGGTATTCACTGTTAAGCCTCCTTGCTCAGTTCCGCTGCACGATGAATGCCAGCGCGAACTCTCTGAAAGGTGCCACAACGACAGATGTTTGTGATGTTCTGATCAATGTCAGCGTCGTTTGGCGCTGCATTGTTTGCCAGCAGGGCTGCCGCCGCCATAATCATGCCGGACTGACAGAATCCGCACTGAGGCACGTCAAGTTCCACCCATGCCTGTTGCACCGGATGATCGCCGCTGTCAGAGAGACCTTCGATGGTGGTGATTTTCTGACTGGCCTGCACGGCACTTGCCGGATAGACACAGGCGCGAATGGGGTTACCGTCGATGTGCACCGTGCACGCGCCACATTGCGCAATGCCGCAACCATACTTGGTGCCGGTCAGGCCTGCCTGTTCACGTAAGACCCAGAGTAACGGTGTGTTGGGATCAAATTCCAACTCCACGTCGTTGCCGTTGATGTTCAGCTTAGCCATTGCGACCAGTCTCCTTGCTTTTGTATCGAGAATTCAATGGTGTGAAGTTGATGGTTGCACGACATCTTTCAGATGCACGTGCAACACTCGAATTCACCCCAGATACTAGCAGGGACCGAGGCGATAACGAAGCATTGGTAGGACAACTTCGATGAGTTGCCTGAGTGATGTCATTATGGTGCGCTGAAGCGCTATTTTGGTGCGCTATCCGGCTGCAGGTATTTGCTTTAGAAGCGCCCGAATTTCTCCTTTACGGCCATTGTCCGCGAGCGTGCGACCAGGCCGGGGTGCCGCTTTCAGCGCATGTTCGAGGTGCTTCCTTGCGGCGCTGAATTCGCCTTCGTCAAAGAGAAACTGCCCCATAAAATAGTTACTGTCGATACCGTCTGGGTTGATGGTCAGAGCCTTGTGTAAATGCGCTTTGGCTTTCTTGTCACTGCCAAACGCGATCGGCCATCCGGGTACCTGATGGTAAAGGGTTCCCAGGCTTGTGTGGGCGGATCCCTGCAGCGCATTGGGATTTATCTCCAGCGCACTTTCCAGGCTCGCACGGGCTTCCTTGACCAGGCCAAGGGCACCCAGACCACCTTTTTCACCAGCCAGGGAACTCAGCACAATACCTTTCCAGATCAGGATTTCCGGCACTGCAGACTCTACCTGTGTGATCTGTCTGGCGTATTCGGCGAGCTCAGATAGAGCCTCTTCCCGCTGTGTACCCTCGAGTTGGTAGGTGGCGTGAGCCCAGTTACTCTGCAGATAGTCCAGAGTGTTTTTCGGGCTTGCGCTGTCTGCCAGTGTCGTGACGGCGACCAGCAGGCTGGCACCAAACAGCAGGGCTGATGAGAGCGTTTTTTTGAGTGAATAAGACATACGATTTTCTCCTCGTTTGCTTCGATAGGATTGCGTCAGGTTGTCCTGGCGAATTGTTCAATGGTGGATAATTTTTTCTCCAGGGCGCGATCTACAACCCCGGGCATGATCTGGTTAACACGCACAAACAGTCGCTCCGGCCAACCGAGATAAGTGCTCTTTGCTTTCTGTTCAATTGATTTGAGAATTTTTTGCGCCACGTACACAGGTGTATCGCTGGCGTTGCCTAACGCGTCATTGAGTTGATTGGCAGCTTCGCTGTTCATCGCGGTGCTGGTTGTGCGCGGGGCGAAGTAAATCACGTCGATGGATGTATTTTTGACTTCTCTGCGCAACGCTTCGGTGAATCCACGCAGGCCGAATTTTGAAGCACAGTAGGCGGTGTAACCCGGATGTCCAATTGTGCCAAAGACAGAACCCACGTTGACGATCATGCCGTGAGGATTTTTACGCAGGTGCGGCAGCAACAAACGTGTCAGTTGCATCGGTGCCAGCAGATTCAGTTGCACCATATTTGTCAACGCCGCCGCTTCGGTATTTTCCAGCAGTGCAAACTGATTGGCGCCGGACAGGTTGATCAGGGTATCAACACCGTTCTGCGCGGCCGCTTGCGCGAGGTTGTCGAGATCTGTGGGTAACGTTAAGTCAGCCCGAACTGTGCTGATGATGCTTCTGGCGGGCAGATTGTCCTTCAGCTGTTTTAGTTTTTCCTCTGAGCGTGCGCTGAGTATCAGCGTGTGTCCTGCGTTGGCCAGCACTTTCGCAAGCGCCTGACCAATACCACCTGTTGCGCCTGTCAGCAGAACGGCGCGTTGCTTAAGCGGCATGAGCTGAAGTCTCGTTGTGAAGTCGTGGCACGGATCGCAGCACGTTGCCGTAAAGTACATAAACACGTTTTGCAACGTGAATGACATGGTGCATATCCGCTGCTGTCAGACCGTCGAGCAACTGCTTGAAAAAATCAACGTGTTCTATGTCTAAAGCACCGTGGCTGCGCAGGTAGGTGAACGCCTTGCTGGGTAAGTCCAGGGCTTGTGCAATGAGGTCTGCAGTGCTGCTGGCAAGTGACGTACTGGTGCCTTCCAGAACATGTACCATGCCAAGAAAACCGATGGGGTTAACCGTTGTAATGTAGTCGCGAACATAAGCCAGCATCACTTCTGTGGCGAAATTGGGTTCGCTTGCGGCGATCTGCTGGGCATCTGCACCACAGGCTTCAAGATCGTTAAGGATCCATCGCTCATGACCAATTTCTTCATCTATGTATTCTTTAAACGCACTGATCAGGTGCATCTGGCTTGGGTGTATACGACTTGCGGTGGCCATCATCAGCGGCACCGTAAAGCGCACGTGATGGTAAGCGTTGGTTAAAAAAGCGTGATACATCTCGAGGGTGACACGCCCATGTGCCACGTCTTCGATAATGGGGGCCGCAAGTAGATCAAGCTGTTCTGATCGGGTGGCTTGCAGGAGAGTTTCGTAGTGGCTCATCAAAGGGTGACTCCAATTTTTTCAGGTTGTGTCAGGTGGTTGAATAGATCCTGCCAGGCCTGTCGGCGTACGCGCCCGTTGCTGGTCAGACCGTTGTAGTTGTTCATGTCTGCAGCAGTCACGCGATACCATGCGCCGACTTGTGCGTAGTCAGGCAGTCGCTGATTGCTGGCGCTGACCGCCGCGTCGAGTTCAGCATCAGTGGGCTCACCTCTTGGCAACAGCAGCGCTGTGTTGCTTTGCGCCGCTTCGCCAAACACCGCGGCGTGGCTGATACACAGTTCATTCTGCAATTCGCTTTCAACCCATTCCGGTGACACGTTGCGTCCGTAGGCGGTAATGAAGGTGTTTTTAAGACGTCCATAAACGGTCACGTAGCCGTCTGCGTCTATGGCAACACGGTCGCCGGTTGCAACCTTTGTGCATGTATCCAGGTCACCGATGATGCCCAGCATGCGTGGGTGAGTGACAATCAGCTCTTCGTTTTCAATGCAGGCTTTAACATGGGGTAACAATCTTCCAACGCTGCCGATTTTCTGTGCCGTGGGTGTATTGAGTGTGATCACGCTGCCGCACTCGGTTAACCCATAACCCTCATAAACAGGAATGTTCTGCTGCGCGGCCCGATGCAGCAGTTCCGGGGTCACGCGGCCGCCGCCCACGGCTACAAATTTAAAGTGTTTAAAGGTCACCAGGCCAAATTCAGCTGAAGCGGTGATTGCAAGCAGAAGGGCAGGCACAACGATGATGCTGTCCGGACCAAATGTTTCAATCCCCTTCACGAACTGGCCCACGTCCACCTGGCTACTGCCTTGAACGCCAATTTCAGCCAGATCGGGCACGTATATAGTGCTGCCGTTGAGGAGATTGGCAAACAGGCCTGCGGTGTTCTCCAGCAGCAGTGTCAGGGGTAACACACACAGATGCTGCTGTATCTCCTGATCTTTCAGCGTCTCATACAGGCTGTTGGCCGTTTGCAGTAACGTTTCTGCGCTAAGACAGACACCTTTAGGTTCACCTGTGCTGCCGGACGTGAAAGTCACCAGCGCAGTTCCCGCGGGTAGTGCCACATCTTCAGCATCAAACCTATGCGCGATGTCGAAACGTTTGAAATCGACCTCTGTTCCCGAGTGCGCGCCTGCTGCGCTTTCGCTCAGCGTGATCATGACCTCAGCACCAGAGGCTTTTAACGTGTGATTGCGCTGGGTTGTGCTGAAAAACGATGGGATAGGTATCGCAACTCTGTCAGATTCCAGCAGAGCGATGTCCAGAGCAGCCCAGTCGAAGCCGTTGGGTAGATCGAAAGCTACCCGCCGGACGTTAAGCTCGTCCAGCTTGTTAATCCAGCTCGTTGCTGCGCTTTTGAGATCAGTCAACGACCAGGTGTTATGCCCGTCGCTGAGGCAGGCGCTGGCGGGCACATGAGCAAGTAGTTTCTTTTTAAGCATAGATTCTGCCCGCCTGATTGACTGCGTTTTGTGGTTGACCCAGCAGCACGGTTGGCGCGTGTTCGTAGTAGCTGCCCCAGCCGTGTTGCAGGTTCGGTGGAAGCTGCTGGAGTGATGCTTTACCCAGAATGTGAGGGGCAATGCCCTTGCGCTCGAAAAACGCGGCCAGTTCGCGGGTTGCGGTACAGACGAGTAACTCTGTCTGCATAGACAGAAACTCCGCCAGACAGGGCAGTAACTGGCAAACCAGACGCGGCGTGCGGACTGAAAAATGCACAAATTCGACAGTTTTATCGGTGCTTAGCAGGTCAGGAAAGGTGTCCTGCAGACGCAGATTTAAATTGTCGATATAGTGGTTACTGAAGAATTTTTCCCGGCACCGGTTCAGGCCGAATGCAGCATCCAGCTCACCACAGTTGTTATAAATGGCATAAAGCTCATCGCTGTCATCGCTGATAATTGCACCGAAATGTTGTTCAAACTGCGCCGCGATAAAGGCAAATGCCTCATCACGCTTTTCACCTTCAACCCTTGTGATGGACCAGTGGTTTTTCATTTAAGTTCTTCTATTGTTGGCCTAGTCTTGGGGAGATAGAGAGCGCCTCGGATAAAAATCAATCGAAATAATATTTTTCCGATTGATTTATGTGATTCAGACCCTCAACTGTTACAAGCCATTGAGTTACGCGTGTGCATAAAGAAGATTTAAAACTCGCCAAGCAGTTGCTGAGCGGCAACGAACAGGTTTTTGAAACCTTTTTCAATCAGTACTACGTGCGGGTTTATCGGTTCTGCCTGCGCCGTGTTAATGAGAATGAAGCAGAGGACATAGCTTTGGAAACCATGCGACAAGCGATGCGCAGGATTGAAACTTACCGCGGCGAAGCCAGTTTGCTGGCCTGGGTTTATCAGGTTGCCCGCAGTCAGGTCAGCGCCTTTTATAAACGCGCGCAGAAGCACAAAGACCTGCTGCTGATTGAAGACGATCTGCAGGTTCAGGCTCAGGTAGAAGCCATGAGTTCAGAATTGTCCGCTGATCCTGAAGCGTCAAGAGATCAGCAACAGCATGCCAATCTGATTCATTACATGCTCGATTCGCTGCCAGGGGATTACGGCCGTATTCTGGAATGGAAGTACGTAGAGGGTTGGTCGGTTGAGGAAATAGCCCAGCGTCTCGAGTCCAGTCCGACAGCGATACAGTCCATGCTTGCACGGGCGCGTACCGCCTTTCGTAATGCTTATGAACAAATCAGCCAGAGTGCAGAGCAGACAAATGTTGTGCCATTCGGCTCTGGGGGAGCCCAAACATGAATGACGGTCAAAATACGGATGACGAGCACGCTGTTGATATGGAGATCAAACAGATTCTCACAGCTGCCGGACCACGCCCACAACCGCCTCAAGCGGCCAGTCAGCGTGCCTATGACCTGCTGAAAAACGACTGGTCGTCGCTTGTCGCGGCAAAGAAACAGCGTCGCCGCCGACGCTTGCTGAGTGTGGCTGCCAGCATCGGCGTGCTGGTGGGCTCTTTGTGGATGTTCAACGACGTGCAACAGTCCCGGAACTGGGAGGTGGTCGTCACCAGTGGTGCTTTTGAATTGAATTCGACACGCTATGAGGCGCCACAAAATATGACGCTGAGTGAAGGCGATCATTTATACAGCCTGGAACCCGTGCGGTTCGAGCGCAGCGACGGGGCTGATCTGCGTTTAGGTTATGCAACGTCTTTGTCTATCCAGAACGATGCGACAGTGCAGCTGGAACAGGGTTCGGTCTACATCGATACACAGGGATTGGCAGATTTTCTGGTGCAAACGCCTCTGGCGGATGTGCGGGATATAGGCACTCGATTCATGGTCAGCCTGGCGGATAGTGCGCTGCAGGTTGCGGTGCGCGAAGGGGCTGCGGAAGTCACTTCCGAATTCGGCACACAGGTTGCCAGAGTCGACAGTAGTAAGGTTGATAGTGCTCTGGCACAAGTTGTCACTGTTGATGGCAGTGGTCAGAAGCTGCATCAGGAGTCGCTGTCAGATTCGCGCTGGGAATGGATACATGTTGCACCCGCTGGTTACCAATCACGTGCTTTAACCGCACTGGTCAGCCAGATAGGTCACGACCTGGGCAAAACCGTGCGCTTTGCCGATCGCGGTGTTGAAGTCAGCGTGGCCAATGAACAGGTGGATGGCGATCTGCGCGATATGACACCCAGACAGGCGCTGGAGATTATTGCTCGCAGTACGGGCCTGGTCTGGCGTGAAGCACAAGACGAGATCATCTTGGACTTTAAGCGTTGATGGCAAACCCGTAAGCTTGCGCGCCTATGCGCTGCTGCCAACTTACTTTTTATAAAAAACTGCTGTTCCTGCTTTTGTGCAGCTACTGCGCTGGGGTGCTCGCAAGCGAAAGTGGCCGGCCATTTGCCATTGAAATGGGAGAGCCTCTGCGCAAGGTATTGGATCGCTTTACCGAGGTCGGATTGAACGTTGTGTCGACGACACGTTTGGTACCTTCACGGATGGTGGTCACCGCAGTGCCGGATGCAGATCTTCCTCCCATGGAGCAGCTTGATCAGCTGCTGCGACCCCATAATCTGCAGTTGGTCAGCGTTGACCCCAACAACAGCTATGTTGAACGCATCAAAACACCGGCTGAAGCAGTTAACCCGGCGCCAGAAGCAGTCGTCCGCCGTGCGTCTTTCATGGAAGAGGTGGTGGTCACCAGCCCCTACCGCGTCCGACGCGAGCGCGAGTTGGCAGCAAGCCTTGATCACGAAGATCTGTTAACCCTGCCCAGTCTGGGTAGAGATGTGTTGCGCGGGATCGATATTCTGCCGGGTGTTGCAACTAATGGTATATCCGCTCGTTATCAGTTCCGCGGCGGTGACAATAATGAAGTGTTGTATCGTCTGGACGGTATTGAACTGCTGGAACCGTTTCATCTGCCTTCGGTGCAGGACCTCTTTGGTGCGGTGAATATCAACATTATCGACTCTGCGGATATTTATGTGGCAGGCTTTCCTGTTGATCTGGGTTCACGTATGAGTGGTGTTGTTGATCTGGAACTGGTTGAACCAACGGCTAAATTCAGTGGTGGGGTCGATCTGAATTTCATCACGGCGTCAACGGATGCCCGGGGCTGGGCGGGAAACTGGAACTGGGTAGTGTCCGCTCGACGCAGTTTGATTGATAAAGCCATCGGACAGTTCGAAACTGACTATGGCACACCTCGTTTCCAGGACCAGCTGTTGCATCTGACTCGATCTACAGGCGAAACCACGTTCACCCTTGGCGCTGTGAACAGCCGAGATCGGGTGGTTGTCCGTCAGGATACGCAAGTGAGCCGCAGTAATGATGATTTCCGCGCCCTCTGGATGCGTTGGCAGCAGGACCATCAAGGCCAGCTCAGCAGCACCTGGCAGTTTTCTACTGTCAACATAGATAAGACGCGGTGGGGTCGCGTTGATGATTCGATGGCGAGTGTTGGCGCGTTGGAGGAACAGCGCGAGTTCAACACGTATGAGCTGTCCAATCATTGGGAGTGGCAGCGTGGCTCGACATCACAATGGCGTGCAGGCTGGTCGTTTGCCCGCCAGAAGGCTGATTTTGAAGCTGAGTTTGCGGCGGACTATGGGCCACTGGCGTTACCGGGGTTGAGGGGTTCAACTCTGCAGCGCGACGTTGAAGTTGATCGTTCGGGTGATTCATCCCAGGCCTTTATATCGTACACCAGGGCATTTGGTTCTGGTTGGCGTATCGAAACAGGTCTGCGCTATGACGGCCAGGATATCGATCCGGTTCATGTGAGTGAATTCAGCGCCCGTATAAATGTGGATTATAAGGTATCTGAAGCGTGGCGATTTGCGCTGAATGTGGGGCGTTATACGCAACAACAGCATTTATACGAAATTCAGATTGATGACGGCAGAGCTGAATTGTTTAACCCACAGCATTCGGACCAGATCAATCTGTCGGGTATCTATGCACCGAACGATAAGCTGCGGGTTCGCCTGGATCTGTATCTGCGCCAGATAGGCAATCCCTGGTCGCATTTTGAAAACCTGTACAACACCTGGGTGTTGATTCCTGAGCTGCAGGGGGACCGGTTCGAAATTGAGACAAGCAAAGCCCGTATGCGTGGTGCGGAGCTGTCAGTAAATTACCAAGTCAGCGAGCAGCTATCGTGGTATATCAATGCCACTCGCGCCTCTGCTGAAGAGACCACTTTATCGCGCGAGGTTGCCAGGCCATGGGACCAGGAGCTGGCTGTAAAAGCGGGCCTTTCATGGCAGAGTGCACGCTGGCGTCTGGGTCTGAAAGGCAGTTATCACAGTGGTCTGCCGACCACGGAATTTGTTACCACGGATGATCAGCTGACGGGATCTTTGTATGGCAGCAGGCTGCCCTCGTTCTTTACGATAGATGCCCACGTTTCCCGCATGATTGCGGTGCCGCGGGGCAGCCTGGAGGTCTATCTTGATGTGACAAACCTGACTGACAGGTCAAATGTTGGCGGCTACGAATACAGCTCGGCGACAGAACGCGATCCGCAGGAAATGTTGCCGCTGTTACCTGTTCTTGGCGTGTCCTGGCGCTGGTAGTTCTCTAAAATCACTCAGCCAAGTACCGCAATGTTACAGGCATGACAGTACTGAGGGGTACGGATCCAAAATCCGGGTCAATTTCCCTGCCATGCGGTGCGCTGGACATGTCCAGTCTATAGTCTCTCAATAACAAGCCGGCCAACAAGGGTAAGAACGCTCTGGTCACACCCATACCCAGGCAAAGGTGCTTGCCTCCACCAAAAGCATTTGTTTTGGCTGGGGAACCGTCCAGCCAGCGTTGCGGTTGAAACTCAAACGGTGAATTGTATGTCTCAGCTTCATAGTGCGACAGGGTATGCAGGTGCAGCACGAGGGTACCCTCGGGTATCTGGTGGCCGAGAAATTCGATATTGCGGGTGGTGCGTTTAGGGATAACCGGCGCGGGTGGGTAGAGTCGTTCAGTTTCGTTGATCAGGGCTTTTAATACCGGATGCGCTTTCATGCCGTCAAGATTTGCCAGGTCAACATCAGCCAGTTCCTGCCGCACAGCAGTTTGCCAGTGCGTACCGGCGACTTTCCACATCATGGTGCACAGGAAGTGGGCGATATTGCCCACCCCTGCGATACTGAGCAGGTAGATACTTTCGATGATTTCCGTGTCACTCAGGGGCGTAAAATCTGAGGTTTCTGAGCGCGACAGGATGATATCGAGAGAATCATCTTTGCGTGCGCCACGCTTTCTTTCGTTCAGAATCTGGTTAAAAAAATCGAAGGACATATTGCGAGCGTGCTGGTAGGCGGGGCGGGCAAACCACTGTGTTTGCTGTGCCGGGCTGAGCTGTAGTGCTGCTATAAATTCATCTTCGAATTGCAACAGATGGCTCAGCCCAGACGAGGTTACAGCAGCTTTGATTTGCGTCTGATTAAGTGCTCGCGCCATGGTCCGGCATGCCAATGCGTACAGATCCGATGGCGCATCGACCTGTTCGTTAAGGTCCTGTGCGAACGTCTGGTAGGTCGTGCCTATGTCCCGACGCAGCGCAGTGGCGCCAAAACCCGGCAGAATCAGCTTGCGCAACCGCCGGTGGGGTTCGCCGTCCAGAATGGTGACATGGTCCGGTCCCAGTTGTGTGCGAAAAATAGCGGAGAAGTCGGTGTTCTGATAAGACCAGTCATCGGGATTACGCCAGGCCAGCTGGTTTGCCGCCGTGGAGCTGATCGCAACGCAATGCTCGCCATCTATGCTCAATTGTACGACCGGACCGGTATTTTGCAGCGCCGCACACCAGGATGCCGCGGTGTACCCAGATATCGTGGGCACGGTGAGATCGCTGCTGTCTGCGGGTTGCAGATGTTTGAGGTCGAGGTGTTTCAGGCCGTGCATGTTTGATGAATCTGGTGCATATGTATGGATGAAAAGAAGGCCGTGATGGTGTTAGATACGCGGCGTAAAAACAACAGCTACATAAGGCGCCCTATGAAGACTCGTATCACGGAACTGTTTGGCATTGAACACCCCATCATTCAGGGTGGTATGCATTATGTCGGTTATGCACAACTGGCAGCGGCAGTTTCCAATGCCGGCGGCTTAGGCATCATCACAGCCCTGACTCAGAAAACCCCCGAAGATCTGAGTCGCGAAATAGCAAAATGTCGAGAAATGACGGATAAACCGTTCGGCGTCAATGTGACCTTTCTGCCGACGTTGAATCCACCGGATTATCCTGCCATTTTCAAGGCGATTATCGATGGCGGTGTGAAGGTTGTAGAAACTGCCGGTAATAACCCGTCGGAATACCTGCCGTTGCTGAAGGATAACGGCATCAAGGTGATCCATAAGTGCACCGCGGTAAGGCATGCGTTAAAGGCGCAATCGATCGGTTGTGACGCGGTCAGCGTAGACGGCTTTGAATGTGGCGGTCATCCCGGTGAAGACGATATTCCTAACATGATTTTATTGCCGCGTGCTGCTGATGAACTTGATATTCCTTTTGTCTCTTCGGGCGGTCAGGCGGATGCGCGCAGCCTTGTTGCTTCGCTGGCAATGGGTGCTGAAGGCATGAACATGGGTACGCGCTTTATAGCTACCCAGGAAGCGCCAGTGCATGAAAATGTGAAGCAGGCGATTGTAGCGGCCAGTGAGTTAGACACCCGTCTGGTGATGCGTCCGCTGCGCAATACGGAGCGGGTCATGACCAATGTGGCGGTGGAACGTCTGTTGGAAAAAGAACGCGCGTTGGGCAGTGATCTCAAGTTTGCTGATATTGCTGAGGAAGTTGCCGGTGTATATCCGCGCATCATGATTGATGGTGAGATGGACGCAGGCGCCTGGTCATGTGGCATGGTTGCGGGGCTGATCCATGACATTCCAACCTGTCAGGAGTTGATCTCAAGAATTATGGCAGAAGCCGATCAGATCATTTCAAGTCGACTGGCGGGTATGCAGAACGCAGCAGGTTAGGGTGAGTTGCCGCAGCAAGGTTAAGCTTGCTGCGGCGCATCTTTTTTTACATCCGCTCGATGATCACTGCAGGTGCCATGCCGCCGGCTGCGCACATTGTGATAAGGGCGGTGTTATCACCCCGACGTTCGAGTTCGTCCAGAGCCGTACCGATCAGCATTGAGCCAGTGGCGCCAATGGGATGCCCCAGCGCGATTGCGCCGCCATTTACATTGAGCTTGGCGTGATCGACGTCCAGGTCGCGCATGAATTTAACCGGTACAACCGCAAACGCCTCGTTGACCTCAAACAGGTCGATGTCGTTCAGGGTCATGCCTGCTTTGCCCAGCACCTTCTTCGCCGCATCAACGGGCGCATTCAAGATGTATTCCGGTGAATGACCCATATTTGCCATAGCTTTGATTCTGGCACGAGGCTTTAAGCCGTTAGCCTTGGCGTACTCTGGCGAAGCCAGAACCAGGGCGCCGGCGCCGTCAACAACACCTGATGAGCTACCTGCATGATGCACATGCTGAATATCCAGGTGACTCCACTTTTTAGCCACCATTTCCCGGAAAGTAAGACCTGAGTCGAAAAACGGTAAATCCATGAAACGACCGAATACAGGCTCTAAACCTGCAAGGCTTTCTGCTGTGGTTTGTGGTCGTGGATACTCTTCGTTGTCCAGGGCCAATGTGCCATCAGGGCGGAACACGGGTGTCAGACTTTTGCTGAAAGCACCTGATTCCAGTGCAGCCCCGGCACGACGCTGGCTTTCGGCGGAGAAAGCATCGAGCTCAGTGCGACTGAAACCTTCTTCGGTGGCGATGATGTCAGCAGCAATACCGACATTGGTTTGTGGATGTGCATTACGCAGATCTACGTTGCCGGCATCCAGTGGCATGGGGATACCCTCGGCGGAAGTGTACGACATCATTTCTACCCCACCCGCAACAACCAGGTCTTCCATGCCACTCATGATGCTGGCTGCAGCCATGTTGACCGCACTGATGCCGCCACCACAGAATCTGTCCAGGGTGACACCGGATGCTTTGATTGAATAACCTGCATCCAGGGCGGACATGCGTCCGATACAGGCGCCCTGTTTCTTTATCTGGCTGCTGCAGCTGATGATGACGTCGTCTATTTCAGCGGTGTTCAGATTATTGCGTTCCGCCAGGGCTTTAAGCACCGTTGATAACAGTTTCTGGGGGTGTATTTCCCACAGCGCGCCTTTGCCCTGTTTACCGATACCGCGAGGGGTGCGGGCTGCGTCGATGATCCATGCTTCTGTCATGCTTAAATTTCCTGAATATTTGATCGATCATCATACTTCAGATCAGCGGGTTGGCGAAGTGTGATTCGAACCGATCCGGGCAGATCTATGGGGTCAGTTTGATCAGTCGTGCATTGCCTACATTGGCGTAACGACCCGGTGCACAGGTCAGAATGATGATCTGACAGGTCCGACCTGCTGCTGCAATAGCGGCGCCCATATTGTTGAGCTTCTGTGGGTCAGAAAACCCTAACGCATCGTCGATGATAAGAGGAATGCCGTTCTGTTTGGCGACTAACTGTGCAGCTGCCAGGCGCATCAGAATAGCCAGCTGCTCTTTAGCACCGATACTCAGGTCGTCAAAAGTCAGCGTGGTATTACCAAGAGTCCGGTGCGTAATCGACCAGTCCTGTGCGATCTCAACTTGAAATGTGGCCCCGAAGACCAGTTTGCCCAGCACTTCGACGTGTTGTTTCAGCGGTTGCAGATAAGCTTGTCTGGCGGCATCGCGGTGCTGATTAAGCGTTTCCCACAGCTTTCGAGCAGCTTCCGCGCGCCGTTGCGTTGCGGTGAGGTCCTGTTCCAGTTGCAGTAACTGGGTTTCGGTTTTCACCATTAATTCGTGTAAACCGTTGGCTCTGGCGGTTTCGAGCCGATCATTGACAATGGCAAGTGCCTGCTCCTGTAGACGTAGTTCGGCACCGGTGCGGTGTACGCTGTCGGCGGCGTTTTCAAGCAGCACCTTCTGGGCATCAGCATTTTGTTGCGCTAATTCTTCAGCAATATGGTCAATTTCAAGTCCCAGGTCTGCCGCTATGGTCTCCTGTTCGTGTTTGAGGGACGTGAAAGAAGCATCCGTGCGTTTCTGCCGTTCAGCTTCCAGACTCGCGGTGAGCGCCTCAGAAGCCGCTTTTGTTGCAAGCTGCTGCGCGGCTTTGGCTTCCAGCGCCTCTTTTGCACCAGATGCTGCCTGTGCCTGTGCCTGGCAGGCATGTGTTGCCTGTTCAATATGGGTCTGCAGGCGTGACAGCTGCTGTTCGATACGCCCCAGATTTTCTGCAGCGATGTGGATGTCCCCAGGCAGTGGCGGCGTTGTTGCGCGGCTTTGTGAGTACTGTGTGCAGATTTTTGTCAGTACGGTAACCTGCTGTTCAATCTCGCTGGTATGCAGGTCCTGCAGTATCTTCTGCTGTTGCGATTTGAGCTGTTGGACTTCCGCTTCACGATCGGACCGTTGTCTGGCCAACGCAGTGGCTGCCTGTAAGTCGGACACGCCCAGTTCTGCCTGTAGTGTCTGCAGTTCAACTTGCGCCTGCTGGTACTGGTTCGCTAGATCTGTGGCGGACTCCGGCGGTGAAATTTCGATGTCGAGCTGGTCCGGTAACTCAATCTGCAGGGCATTGCTGGTTGAAAGTTTATGCTGCTGTCCCGCTTCCAGGCTGATGGATTGGTTCTCAATATTCAACTGCAGCGTTTGTTTTGCTGTCAGTGTCAGGTTTGTGGAAGCAACCTGGGCTTTTGCCTCGGCCACAGCTAATGTGCGTTCGAGTCGAACATAGGTTTCCAATGCGTCGGCATCTACAGGAATGCCTGAGATAGCGTCGAGGTGGTCGGTGAGTTGCTGCTCTATCGATTTTATTTGCCCCAGGGTTTTTTTATGTCTTGCGAGTTGTGCCTCCTGCTCCAGGTGGTTGAGATCCGCACGGGCCAGTTTTTCAAGTCTGCGTACTTCTTTTTCTTCATTAAGAAGCTGCACAAGGCCACTCTCCAAGGTTTCCAGCGCTTTGCTCTCCTGTTGCAGGCGTTGCGTTAACGATTCTATTTCGTGGGAAAGCTGCGCCGAAGCCTGTTGCTGCTGCTGGATCTGATTGACCAGATCCGCGCGCGACTGGATAGCTTCGTTGATGCGCGCCAGTTGATTGCTGGTCTCAGCAAGCGTTTGTTTTTTGCTCTCTAAAGCGGCACTTTTTTCCTGTAGCCTCTGCCAGCGTTCCGCCTGAACCCGCTCTGCCTGCTGCATCTGCGGTAGTTGCGCGCGCAGACGCTCAACGTCCTGCGCTGTGATTGTCTGCTGATTCTGGTCCTGTTCCAGCTGTTGCAGCGTTGTCGTCAGCTCACTCAGACGGGCTTTTGCCAGCTCCGTTTTGTCGATGAGTTCGGTATATTTGATGCGACCCGTTTTCAGGGTGAAATAGCGTTCGTATTCACGCTGTGCCGCGCTGATGAGGGTTTCATCTTCATTGTTGTTGGTATCCGCAGAGCCGGCTGCGCTATCCAGCGCCTGAGCCAGGCTTACAGAATTACTTAATTTGATCTGATTGATCTGTTCACCCTGGTCTACCAGAAGCGTCTGCCATAGCGTCATGTCTACCTGTTCAGACAACAGCCTGGCCACCCATTCATGAGCGCTTCGCCCCGTTTCCTGCAGGTTTTCTGCGCCGCTGACGTGAACCGTTGTAGAACGGTTTTTATTGTAGGTTTTTGCGTAAACGATGTGATAGCCGGCAACGCTGAATTTAACGCTTACCTCGCTGCCGACATCCTGGCCAGCCGGTTGGATGGCCTTGACGTGTTTTTTATTAGATGAATCGAGCTCAGAAAAAATAAGCTGAATCGCTTCAATGATAGACGACTTGCCAATCTCGTTAGGCCCCTCAAGCAGGGTGACACCCTCGTCGAACTCAATTTCTCTGAGTGTTATGCCGCGCCAGTGACGAAGCGTGAGTTTATGAAGACGCATACCCGAGAGCTCAGGGAGCGCTGTTCTGATTCAGGCGGAACAGCAGCCGCAGTGCATCTTCTGCGACAGCATCACCACTGTGCGCAGCTTGCTGTAGCTCCTGCCAGGCAGATCTGGCATAGCCGGATAAGGCGACATCATCTTCGTCGGAAGTAGAGGGCGCGACATGCAGACTGGTCAACCGCTCGCGGGTTTTCAAACTGGCAAACAGTAGTTTTGCATCATCCATTATTTTATCCAGCGAAGCGGCGGTGGTGAGATCAATGCTGCCTTCAAAACTGATTTTAATCGCGGTGCGCTGTTTATTGGGAATCTGTTCCAGCCACTGGGAGAGCTGGGCCAGATCTTCTGCGCCGTTCATGTGTTGATGCCTTGCAACAAAAATCCAATCGCTTACGGTGAGAGGCTCAACCTCGCATTTATCATCGGCATCCAGAGAGACAAGTAACACTTGATTCGGTGCGATTTCATCGAAATCCGTGCTGACAGGAGCGCCGCTGTACCAGATTCTTCTGCTCGAACCAATGGCTGTAGTTGAATGTCTGTCACCCAGTGCCAGGTAGTGGATTTTTTTTTCTTCGAGCGCTTCCTCCACATTGGCCAGATCGATAATTTCCGGTCTGGTTTTATCTGGCGACAGTTCGTCCACCTGTCCATGCGCCACCATTATTCTGGTGGTGGCGGTGGGTTCGAGGGTGGTGATCAACTGGCGACAAAGGTCGTGGCTGGGGTGTTTGGTCAGCCAGGGTGCGCCAACGATCTCTACGTCTGGACACTGAGGAATTCTGTGGGGCTGGCCATCGTTGAGGACAAATATATTTTCCGCTGCTTGTTTGAATTCTTCAGTGAGGAAGATGGAACTGTTGTCCAGCGGGTCGTGATTTCCAGGTAACAGGAATACAGGCACCGGTACAGTGCGCAGCGCCTCCAGCGAGCGCGTAACCGTCTGGCGACTTAACTGGTTGGATTCAAACACGTCACCTGCAACGACAATGAACGCTGCGTCATGCGCGCGAGCCAGTTCACCTATGGTTTGAATCGCATCAATGCGATCCTGACTGAATCTAACGCCGGCTTCTTCGCTCAAAAAAGCGCGAGTCATACCCAGTTGCCAGTCTGATGTGTGTATGAAGCGGATAATGGTTTTGTTCTTCGAAAATGCTGTTTAGCGCGAGAGTCATATCTTCACACTTTTGGCTGGCTATCGCGTAGGTTTTTTTCCACGGCCTGATTCAGGTATCGCAAACGGGTTTTAGGGCCTGGTTCACAGACTCGCCTTTGTCAGCTATCCGGCCGATTTTTCTGGCTATGCTTTAGGCAATAACCAGGTCGATCTAATGACTACAAATCAACCGCTGTTTGCCCGGCAGCCTATTTTTGATGCTCAACTCAATGTGGTTGCCCACGAATTGCTGTTTCGAGGTGTGGCAACAACCGGTGAAGCTGCAACGGCGGAAGTGCTCCTGTCGGCGCTGGACCAGTCGATATTTGATGCGCATGGCGGTGGCCTGCCGGTATTTGTCAATTTTCCGGCGCAGATACTGTTACATATGCCGCTGCTGGATAAATCAAAGCTGGTGGTCGAAATTCTAGAAGACGTAGAAGTCACGCAGGATCTGGTTTCGGCGGTAAAAGCCTTACACGATGAAGGCTATCGCATTGCACTGGACGACTACATCCATGCACCCGAGTTCGAGCCATTATTGGATGTCGCGGACATCATTAAACTTGATGTGCTGGCTGTGTGCGGTGATGAGTTGGACGACCTGGCGCTGACCTTACGTAAACCAGGCCGACAGCTGCTGGCTGAAAAAGTAGAAAACCATGCGGTTTATGAGCAATGCCAGTTGCTGGGTATGGATTACTATCAGGGTTTTTTCTTCGCAAAACCCAATATTGTGCACGGCGCGGTTGTGAGTGCTGATCAGGGTGCGGTTCTGAATCTGCTGGTTGCGCTACAGGATCCGGATATAACGCCGGATCAGCTGGAAGTTATAGTGCTCAGCGACGCTGTGCTTACCTACCGAATCATCAAACTGGTTAACAGCGCACACTATCGGCGGGCTCATGAAATCACGAGCGTGGCTGCTGCCATAACCATGCTTGGCCTGCGTCAGATTTCAGCGTTCGCCAGCTTGTTCAGTCTTTCGACCCTGGACGAAAAACCAACGGAGTTGAGTTTGTATACTGCAATGCGTGCAGACCTTTGTCAGCGTATCGGATTGGCGCACAACCTGCCGTATGCGCCAGAGAATCTGTTTGTGCTGGGTGTGTTGTCCTGTACGGAAGCCTATTTTGATCAGTCGATGCTTACCCTGACAGCAAATCTGCCGATAAGCGGTGAGTTGAAAGAGGCTTTGTGTTCGCGAGAAGGGTGTCTCGGTGCGCTGCTCAATATTGCGCAGAACTACCAGGAAGGCAATTGGTCAGGCAACAACTGGGAACACCTTGGCCAATATTCGTTCAAGGCAGAAGCTGCGGACGCTGCTTACCAGGAAAGCCTGATATGGCTTGCAGAGCATCGTCAGCAGATTCTGCGCAACCGTTAGTGGGTTGTTTTGCTTAAGTCGAACGTTTGCGTAAGCGTCGCATACCACTGAGCCACCGATCGATGTTGTCACCTTTACGTCGCACGTAGTCTTCAACCTCGGGATGAGGAAGCACGTAGAAACGTTCTTCAGCAATAGCTTCAACCACAGTCTGTGCCAGCTGCTCGGGCTCAATGATGCCGTCCGTCTGTCCATCCCCCAGGCTTCTGGGTGCCATCGCTGTGTTGACACCTTGTGGACACAGGACGGAAACGCGAATGCCTTCGTCGCCGTGGGTAATAGACAGGAACTCAGCAAGTTTGACCGCTGCGGCTTTACTCACGGTGTAGGGGCCTGAACCGATTGCTGCCAGTAAACCTGCTGCAGATGCGGTATTGAGCAGGTAGCCTTCACCCCGTTCCAGCATACCCGGCAGTACAGCTCGCGCCGCATACAGGTGCGACATGACGTGCAGCTCCCACTGCTGTTGCCAGACTTCATTGGGTGCATCGGTCAGCAGACCCTGGCCGCCGGCGCCGGCATTGGAACAGAACAGGTCTATGTGTCCATGTTTCTGCAGCACGCGTTCAACCAAGGTCTGCACATCATTCTCCCGGGTGACATTGCAGGCGTAACCCTCACAGCCGATGTCAGCAGCCGCTGCTTGCACCGCCTGCTCGTCCAGATCGGCAAGCACCACCGCTTCAGCCCCCTGGCTTAAAAACGCTTTTGCCATGGCTTGCCCGATGCCACCACTGCCGCCTGTTATTACCGCCACTCTATTGTTCAGATCCATGTTTTCCTCCCTGTGATCGTCTGAATTCTGCGCAGCGCGAGTGGGGTAAGCAAGGCAAACTTCAGCCACTTTGTTAGGCGGGCAGATATAAAGCTGTTTTGCGAGGCATATTCTGTGCTAATAATATTGGCCTGATCACTGGGAAGGGGACCCATTGTGGCCGAAGAACTCAAACGAAAAACTGTTTTTGCCCATGGTGCTGTGGGTCTGCCGCTGGCCGTTATAGGTTATCCACTGTCGATCTGGATACCTGCGCACTATTCCGGTGGATTGGGTATCAGTCTTGCTGCGGTGGGTACAATTCTGATGCTGGCACGCCTCACTGATGTGGTCACAGACCCCCTGGTAGGCGAACTGACTGACCGTTGGCGAACCCGATTCGGTCGTCGTAAACCCTGGCTGCTGGTGGGTACTCCCATCATGATGCTTGGTGTTTATAAACTGTTCGTCCCGGTGGGTGAAGTTGGACTCCTCTACTTTCTATTCTGGCTGACAATATTTTTCCTCGGCAGTACCCTGATTGCATTGCCGCATCGTGCTTGGGGTGCCGAGCTCTCTCTGGATTACCATCAGCGCAGTCGAGTCACCGCCGCGCGGGAAATCTATGTCCTGGTTGGCCTGATGGTCGCGGCAGCCGTGCCTATGATCATCGAGATACGTGCGGATGGGGGCACCGGCGTGGGCCAGGTGTTTGCTACATTATGGTCAGATGCCATAGGTGCGTTTTCCGGTGACTTTGGTGACAAGCAGGCGGTGGATCGCGCTACGTTGACCGGCCCGGTGCTGATGGGACTGGCCTGGACAATTATTCTGGTGCTGCCTGTTTGTGTGGGTATCGCGTTGATGCTTGTCAAAGAACCGGCACGTATCGTTGCGGAAAAGCGTCCCAGTATTAAAGAAGGTTTACGCCTGGTTCTGAAAAATGGACCCATGCGCCGGGTGTTGATCATTGCCCTGGCGGTGATGTTTGGCGAAGCATTTCGAAACGCGGTGAGTCTGTTCTTTATCCGCGACATTGTGGGGGTGCCGACCATCGGTGCAGCCTACTTCTTTTATTTCATTGCTGGCCTGGCAGCCATCCCCTTCTGGTTGTGGCTGGGACGAAAAATCGGTAAACATCGCGCGTTCATGTGTACATTGATTACCGTGGCGTCTGTCAGCGCTGCCAACCTGCTGTTGGGATACGGGGATTATCTGGCGTTTTTCCTGCTCTTTGTGGTTAAAGGCTTCTGTTTTGGTGGGCTGCAGTTTCTGCCGATTGCGATGCTGGCAGACGTTGTTGACGTGGATACCGCAAGAACCGGTGGGCAACGCGCTGGTACCTACTTTGCATTCCTTGGCTTTACGGAAAAAATTGCCATCGCACTTGGCACCGGCGTTTCGCTGAACGTTGTGGGCCTGCTTGGGTTTGATCCGGCAGGTGGCGTTGCGGGCAGCACCGAAATCGGTGTCTGGTCTTTACGTATGGTCTACTGCCTGGGCCCGATCTTCTTTTATGGATTGGCGCTGAAGTTGATCTGGTCTTATCCATTAACGCCGGCAAGGCATGCCCGTCTGCAGGAGCGTATCAGTCGTCGTAACGCGCGCCTGGCTGGGAACGCGTCCTGACCCCGGGAGGCTTTGTCAGATTTTGCCGAACTAAAGCTCAGCAACAACCGATTGGCTGGTTGATAGCTGTTTCGCCATAGTCAGTATTCATCTATTTACGGCAGAGTATTGATGCAGCATGCACGTAAGCAAAAAGAATTAGTTGCGGCACTGGTCAAGAGCAGCATTGCTGAATTGGCGCAGCGGGATTTCGACATCACCCGCATTGGATACTCGCCTGCCTTTATTGCACATGTGCAGCGTGGCAGCTGGCGGCGGGTTGCGCAGTCGATCGATGATGTTAAGACAGCGGAACAGGCCTACTTTGCTGTGTGTCAGCGGGTCAATGTTGACCATCATATCTGTCGAGTGCTGCTGGATGACATCGCGGAGTGGCTGGCTCTGTCGCCAATGGTCTATCGTGGAATCCGCAAATCAACTCAACTGGAGAATAAGCGAAGGATTGCTGCCTGATTACGCTAATTGGGTTAGTCATCAAAGCGCTTAAAAAAACGCCCGTTAAGGGCGTTTTTTATGCCTGGCTGTTGTGCCAGTGCGAAGTAGGGGGGAGCCCATACCGGAACTGAAGCATCCAATGGGAGGGATACTGCCGGTACGGGCTGTAACGGAATCAGGCGGCCACAGGTGATTGGGAAGATTGGAGATGTAGTGCTTCCACCAGCTGGGCTGGTAACTGCAGCTGTGACGCCAGATTCGCGAGGTAACTTTTGCCCGCTTCGCAGGTGTCGTCGATGACGATTGCGGATGCGGTATATATTTCGATGCGTGTTTCCATGTTGGGGGCTAGAGCTGCCAGTTGTGCAGGCTCCAGCGGGTTGGATAACTGCTCTGATAGGGTCGCCAGATCGCTGCTGGACAGTTCCAGTTCAACAGCCTGTTGCCAGATGCGTCTCTGTTCTGCCTCAGACAGGTGTCCATCTGCATGGGCGGCCGCGATCATCGCCTGGATGATGAGGCTGGTGGTGTTTGCATTGTGGTTTGAATCAACCACGGTGGCAAAGTCCTGCCGGGTGAGTTCAGGTAGCACCTGCGACTGGGTAAGTTGTGCAGGGGCGGGAGCGGCACCATCAGCGCTTTGTTGCTGTGAGCCGCGATAGGATTGGTAAGCTTTGTAGGCCAGGCCGCCTACCGCCACCAGACCGCCCGCCTTGAGCAGTTTTTTAGCAGATTTTTTATTCGTGAATGCAGTAACAAGGGCGCCACCGGCTGCGCCACTGAGCGCGCCTGTTATTGCCGGGTTACCTGTTACGCTGCCGAGAATTTTGTCTAACGGCATAGTTCTGCCTCCGATGGTTGATGAAAGGATGGTGAAGAAGTTGAATGCTCGGCGCCATCAGTTCGTTTCGTTTACAAGCTACATTTTTTTCGATGCATGTCCTGTTCTAAAATATCTGGGTTCATGTGTGTTGCTTCGGCTGCATCGAACATTGGGCGCTAGGTTTATCTGCTTGTTGGCAATTGCCGTGTCTCTAGACTGTGCTCGAAATTAGGAGTCACTGATGGTCACGCAAATCAACATAGAATCAGAGTTAGGCCCGAGTTGGCCGGCCAAGATTGAGCGGCAGATAAATTTTGCGCTGGCTTCCGTTCATTGGCAGGTGGTACACCTGACCATTGAGTTGAAAGCTAACGAAAACGCACCAAACAACCCGGATGCGGAGCCGACGTATTGCTGCAACCTGCAGGCGGAACTGCGCGGGGGGCGCAAACAGACGATATCTGTGGTGAGCAGCAACCCTCAGGCTTGTGTTGCAGATGCGGCGGCGCGTTTGCGCCGGGTAGTGACAAGAGACCGGCAGCTGGGTCTCATGGGGCGTGCTAGCTAGCGAGCTTTTCGCGTGCGCGCTCTGTGATCTGCAGAACGGCGGGGTGTTTCAGTTTCCGTTCCGGAGAGATCGCAAAGTAAGATTCCCGTACGCTGTCGACCTTGCCCAGTTCCACCGAGTGGTACATTGAGCAGACCTCATCGGCGATAGCGGTGGGCGCGGGATAGACACCCAGCGCGCCTTCGCCAAAGGCTTTCATTAAAGCGCTGTCATCAAATTCAGCGACGACCCGTGGGCTTATCTCAGCGTTATCGAACCAATCTTCCAGGACGCGCCGCATAGGGCTTTCGTTTGCAGGCAGCAGGATCGGCGCGGCGTCGAGGCATTGAGGGAAGTTTTCCTGATACTTTGCCGCGATGCTGGTGTGTGCAAAGAAGCTGACGCCGCTGTCGCCCAGTGGGTGGTTGTAAGCTTTGACATTGATGCCGGTTGGTATTGATCGGTCCGAAATAACCAGATCCAGTCGATGTACCGCCAGTTCGCCAAGCAGACGTTCCAGATCGCCTTCACGACAGACGACACGTAGCGGGTCTTCCAGTCCAAGGGCGGGTTCAAGGATACGCAGGGCGATGAGTTTAGGAATTGAGTTGACGATGCCGACGTTGAGGGTAGTGGGGATGAGGGCCTGCTTGCTTTTTACTCTCTGGGTGAGTTCCGCACCGAGCATGAAAATTTCATCTGCATACTGATTAACCACCTGACCTGTTTCGGTCATGGCCAACCCGCGCCCAACTCTGTTGAATAAAGGCTCGCCAACAGCTTCCTCTAACAGCTTGAGCTGGCCGCTGATGGTCTGAGGGGTGAGATGTAACACCTCCGAAGCGCGCGCAATGCTGCCTTCTCGGGCAACGGTCCAGAAATAGAGCAGGTGGGTATAGTTCAAATGGCGCACAGTCTTAAAGCCTCTGTTTTTTCAATGTTCAGTATTTTCTGATGTGTAGTCTGCTGGAAACTAATAGGAAGAAAAATACGATTCCACTTCTCCGAAACATCGGTTTGTACGAAGTATAAATCATACGGTATTACCGAACTCAGCTTGCGCAAAGAATGACTAGTCCTTACTGTTGCGGGGGTTATTGTACCCCCTGATTTACACAGTAGGAGTGTTCCATGAAAAACGAAGTTGGTGTGGCTACCGCCCACCTGAATGATGCCGCAATTGCTTCCCAGCATGCGGTGCTTCGTAATACTTATCGTTTGTTATCAATGACTTTGGCCTTCAGCGCATTGGTTGCTGCCGGCTCGGTCGCGCTGAATTTACCGCATCCAGGGATTATTGTTGTCCTGGTCGGTTATTTTGGTCTGCTGTTCCTGACCAGCTACCTGCGCAACAGTGCCTGGGGTCTGGTGAGTGTGTTTGCGCTGACCGGATTTATGGGCTACACCATAGGTCCGATCATCAACATGTATCTGGGTCTGGCTAATGGTCCTTCGCTGGTCACCGCGGCTATGGCGACAACTGGCGTCGTATTCCTTGGGTTGTCAGCCTACGCCAGATCGTCCAAAGCCCCAGACATGATGCGCTTCAGCACATTCCTGTTTGTCGGCATTCTGGTGGCATTCTGCATGGGTCTGGCGGCTGTTTTCTTCCAGATGCCAATGCTGTCAGTAGCGGTTTCAGGTCTGTTTGTATTGTTGATGAGTGGTCTCATCATGTGGCAGACCCAGGATATTATCCGTGGCGGAGAAACCAACTACATCATGGCAACCGTGACCTTGTTTGTAGCGATCTACAACCTGTTCACCAGTCTGTTGCATATCTTCGGCTTCCTTGGAGGTGACGAAGGCTAATGGGCTTGCGCCTGGGCATTTATGGCGCCGGCCAGCTCGGCGCCTATCTGTGCCAGGCCGCTCGAACTCTGGGTATGACCACTACGGTGGTCACACCTGCTGCGGACAGTCCGGCTAACGAACACGCCGACCACGTCATTGTCGCGCCGCTGGATGATCTGGCAGCGTCCGAGGCGCTGATCAGTCGTGTTGATCTGATCACCTTTGAACTTGAAGATATCGCCTCCCCAGTGCTGGATCGGCTTGCCGAGGCCAATGCGCAGGGTGACGTGGAGGTTTTTCCAAAGGTAGAGCATCTGCGGCTGCTGCAGAACAAGTGTTTACAGAAACGCTGGTTTGTTGAGCACCAGCTGCCCACTGCAAAGTTTATCGATTGTCCTGCGGAAGCAAACATCAGCACCCTGGCCGCAGAGTTTGGCCTGCCCTTTGTACAGAAAACCCACAGGGGTGGTTACGATGGGCGCGGTGTGCAGGTGATCCGTGAAGTGGATGGCGCAGATTGTCTCTGGCCGACGGCGACAATTATTGAAGAATTTATTGCGCCACGTCGGGAACTTGCGGTATTGGTGGCGCGCAATACTGCTGGTGAAGAATCTGTTTTTCCCGTTGTCGAGATGGACTTTAACGAACAAGGACACATCCTCAGCCACGTCCTTTCACCCGCATCCTTACCTGTCGAAATTTCCAGCGAGGCACAGCAGATAGCTCTGCAGTTTATCCGTCAGCTCAGCGGTGTTGGTCTGTTTGCAGTCGAGATGTTTCTACGCAACGACAAAGAACTGTTGATCAATGAAGTTGCACCACGTGTTCATAATTCAGGCCACCTCACTATTGAAGCCCACCAGACTTCACAATACGAACAACACCTGCGTGCAATTGCAGGCTTACCATTGGGTTCTACCAAGCAAATGGAACCTTCAGCCATGGTCAATATCCTCTACGATAATGCTATTGAAGCAGCCTGCGCGCGCGGGCATGGCGTTATTGCTGCCGGGAACAATACAAATGTGCACTGGTATGGTAAGAAGGGCACGCATCTGCTCAGGAAGATGGGCCACATCACAAGCACTGCGCAATCCATAGAAGAAGCTCAGCAAAATGTCGATGAGGCGCTCGCCGCGTTGGCATCCTGAGTCGTCGTATCAGTTAAGTAGGGGGTGGGGTGACGAAAGTCAGTATTATAATGGGCAGCGACTCAGACCTGCCGATTATGAGTGCAGCGCGCGATGTGCTGGAAGAATTGGGCGTGGCGTGGGAAATGGCAATAGTCAGTGCTCACCGTACACCTCAACGTATGTACGAATTTGCCCTGGCAGCGGAGGACAATGGTATATCGGTGATCATCGCGGGTGCTGGTGGCGCCGCTCATCTGCCTGGAATGGTTGCATCGCTTACACCTGTGCCCGTGATTGGCGTACCGGTCAGTGCGACCAAGCTTAACGGCCAGGATTCACTGCTCTCGATTGTGCAGATGCCCGCGGGCATTCCTGTAGCTACTGTGGCGATTGATAATGCACGTAATGCAGGCATTCTGGCTGCGCAGATTATTGGCGTGTCAGACTCAAAGGTTCGCACGGCGATCAAAGCGTTCCGCGCCGCAATGACCCGACAGGTTGAAATAAAAGCTGAAAAGCTGGCGGGAAGTTAGTCTTGGACGCACTGTTTCTCTCCAATATTACCTCGCCGCCGCTGCTCTTTTTCATGTTAGGCGCGGCGGCGACGTTGCTGCGCAGCGACCTCGAGATACCGGAGCAGGTTGCCAAATTCCTGTCGCTGTATCTGCTGTTTGCCATTGGCTTTAAAGGCGGCGTGGCGCTGGCTGAAAGCCCGCTGGACTTTGAAGTAGCAAAAGGTCTGCTGACAGCTTTGTTAATGGCGTCGGTGGTGCCGGTTTATGTTTTCTACCTGTTGCGCAGAAAGATGTCGACAGCAGATGCGGCTGCCACTGCAGCAACCTACGGTTCAATCAGCGCAGTAACCTTTGTCACCTGTACCAGCTACCTTGACGCAAATGGTGTGGCGTGGAGTGGTCATCTGGTCGCCGCGATGGCGCTGATGGAGTCGCCGGCCATCATTATTGGCTTGCTCCTGTATCGCATTTATCAGTCAAAAGAAGAGCGGGATCAGCCTGAACTCATCGCGCCGGGAGAGCTGGTGCGTGAATCATTTCTGAATGGGTCTGTGTTCCTGATCATGGGGAGCCTGATCATCGGCTGGATTGCCGGGCCCGTTGGAAAAGCTCAGATCAGTCCACTGGTGAATGATCTGTTTATAGGTGTGTTGTGTCTGTTTTTGCTGGATATGGGTATTGTTGCGATGCGCCGGTTGCAGGATATGCGCAGTTCGGAGCGCGGACTGAGCAGCTTGGGCATGGTGGCGTGGGGTATCGCTTTGCCACTTCTGAACGCATCCATTGCGGTTGGTTTAGCGGTGTTGATAGATTTGCCTGAGGGTGATGCGGTCCTGCTGATTGTTTTGTGTGCCAGTGCTTCGTACATCGCCGTGCCCGCAGCCATGCGCCTGGCGCTACCCGAAGCGAATCCGAGCGTTTATCTCGCCCTGTCTCTGGCCGTCACTTTCCCCTTCAATTTGCTGGTCGGCATTCCCCTTTACCATCAGGCAGTCAATTGGCTGGCCTGATTCATGCAGGTGCATATTTATGAAACCGTGTAAGCGAATCGAAATTGTTATCGAACAGCCTCTGGCACAGCGTATGGCTAAACTTCTGGTGAAGCTGCAGGCGCCCGGATATACCCTCATAGATCACGCTGGAGGGAGTGGCGACCGTGGCTTACGTCGCGCGGACGAACCTACCGGTACGTCAACCAACTGTGTTTTCATTATTGCCTGTGACGATCCTGAGATCACCGACCAGATTGTTAACGGTGTGCGCAGCATGCTGACCCGCTCTGGTGGCATCTGTCTGGTCAGCGACGCGCAATGGTTGCGACACTGATCGCTTGTTGGACACGTCTGCGGTGCTCTGAAAAATCGAAAAGCACGTGGCTCGAGTCGGCTCAGCTTTTACTGACAGCCCAGGGTTGTCAGCCTGATGAGGGGTTAAGCGTGTTCTGCGCCGAAGCAAAGCGTGCAAGGTTCAAATCCTGACGGACAACCTGACCGATCTCAGCCTGCATGTCATCGACGGGGATACCAATCGAATCCGCGATACGGGTCATGCGCTGAAAGTTAGCGGCAACACCAGCAGCATCAACCACAACTTCGGCGCCTGCGCGCTGCAGGAGTGCTTCCCGATGTGCTTCCAGTTGATTGTCCCGCCGTGCAAGGCTTTCCGCAAAGCGCAATAATTCGGGACCGTATTCGATGCCAACAGCTGCGCTGTCGATATCGCCATTGACGGCATTGAGGTCGATGTCGGTTTCAGTGGTTAAGGCGCTCACACGGAGCATGGTGGCATGTGCGCTGGTTCAGTAAAAACACTCATTTATGGCTGATACCCGACCAGCGATCAGCTCGGTCTGCATGCGGTTGATGGACCGATTCGGGTCACCAACAAAATTGCCCATACTGGCAAAAGAGATATATTGAGCGTCGCTGAGCATACGCCAGTCTCGCAGTGCATCGGGTACGAGGGTGAGCGCTCTGACAACATTGGCGGTGCGCCCATCAGACCATAAATCTGCTTCTGCACCGATAGCACCTTGAGGCGGCACTGTGGGTACAAAGCCGATATCGTCGCTGAGTACTTCGGGTTGGTAATGTGACGGCTCGCCCGAGTCAGGGATGGGTAGAGGTTCAAGCGGTAACCCCAGGCCACGATGGAATTCATCGATGCTGAACATGGCAACCACAATACCGACCAGTTCAACGTAGGCATTTTTTGTCAGACCTTCGGCGGCATTCTGCTCTATGTAGTGAGCGGCGATCCTCGTCTGATCGGTGATGATTCGGTGTATCGCATCTATTGCTATGTCGTCTAACAGATCCTGGGTTGTTTCATGCCTGCCTGGAAACTGATAAGGCGAAAGCGCCTGCTTGCGTTCTGTGCAGAAAGTACAGGCGAGCGCCTGACGACTCTCCGCGGCGATAGCGACACGTTGTGCGCCAGTCCACCAACTGCCGGGTTGAGCCAGGCGCTGCCAGTAAGTCTGGTGCGCCTTGCGTATATCGGGCCGAATTGGGTAGGGTGACTGGGAATAGTCGAAAGTGTCCATTTGTCGGTCCCTTTCTGGTTGGCTTGTCTGTTTGGCGTATCCTAAGAGGGTAAGTTTATCGGGAAATGCCGCTATTCTACAAAGCTTGTTGAACAGGCTCAGTCTTGAACTGGTATTGAAATTAAATAAGGGATTGAAATGTCTTTACCCAGAATCGCTATCAACGGTTTTGGCCGTATTGGTCGAACCATTACTCGTATTGCCAAACTGCGTCGTCACTATGATGTCATTGCGGTCAATGATCTGGCGGACCCGGATGATCTGGCTTATGCGTTTAAATACGACAGCATCCACGGCAAGTATGCCGGTGAAGTTGCTTTGAACGGCAACGAACTGCGCATTGATGGTGACCCCTTTATTGTTCTGCAGGAGCCAGACCCCCGCAAACTGCCCTGGAAGGAACTGGGGGTTGATTATGTGGTTGAAAGCAGTGGTCGATTCAGGCGTCTTGAAGAGTTGAACTGGCACCTTGAAGCGGGCGCGAAGCGTGTTCTGTTGACGGTCCCCTGTAAAGACCCGCTGGAAGCCACCATCGTTATGGGTGTCAACGATCATGTTGTGACCAAAGACACCCGCATCATCAGTAATGCCAGTTGCACAACCAACTGTGCCGCGCCGATCGCAAAGGTGCTGCATGACAACTTTGGCATAAAAAGAGGTTTGCTGACTACCGTACATGCTTACACTTCAGATCAGCGCCTGATCGATGCGCCCCATGCAGACAAGCGTCGTTCACGCAGCGCGGCCACGAATATTGTGCCAACCTCGACCGGCGCAGCTCGCGCCATAGGCCTGGTAGTGCCTGAACTGGCAGGGCGTCTGGATGGGATGGCCATGCGGGTACCTGTGCCCGACGGCAGCGTGGTTGATCTAACGGTGGAGCTCGAGCGCGATGTTTCAGAAACCGAAATCAACGAAGCCATGCAGCGGGCGGCGGAAGGCCCGATGCGGGGTATATTGTCTTATTGCACGGATCCAATCGTGTCCGGGGATGTGATCGGCGACAGCCACTCCAGCGTATTTGATGCGGGCCTGACTCAGGTGATTTATCGGCGTATGGCTAAAGTCATCAGTTGGTACGATAACGAATGGGGTTACAGCACCCGGGTCGAGGAATTGATAGATCGTGTTGCCCAGCTTGATGCCTGACTACACCTGCTTGGTGAGCAGCACCATGCCCATGAATTCATGGGCATCTGGGTGTCAGGTTTCTTTTATTGTCTTAGCGGCGATCTCCCGCTGAATCTCCCGGAGTCGGGCTTCAGTAAGGGGGTAGCTCCACAAGATCGGCACAGCGACAAATTTAAAAATTGCTGGAACAATCGAATACAAACAGGCCAGCCACAACAATGAATACCAGGAATTTGGATCTGCGATGGGGTCTGCCAGCGAATTGAAACCAACGATGGTTGCCGTAGTTGTACCAACAACCAGGCCCAGCGCGTATGCCAGTTTGCGGGTCATTGTCCAGATAGAGAAGTATGCGCCGCCCTGGCTTTTGCCGGTTTGCGCGCTGTCGAGGTCAATGACATCTGCAGCCATGGCATAAGGCAGTGCGCTTAATGCGCCGATAGAACTGCCTTTCAGAATCATCACTCCGATGAAGAAGGCAAATTTGCCGGTGGGAATACCCTCGAACTGGCTCTGCATACCCGAAAGCCAGCTGTCAGGTAGAAAAGACAGAATCTTGCCGAGCTCGAAGGCGTCAAACCAGCCCTGAGGTGCAATCGCAATCAACGGGATGAAACAGGACCACAAGGCATACCAGAAGATCGCCACCATGGTGGCCCGATGTTTACCTATCTTAGCGGACAGTTTGAACCAAAGAGGTATCGCTACAATCTGTGAGATGAAGTAGGGCGCAAGATAAAATCCGTACAGATCTCCCGCCAGCAACACATGTTTAACAAAGAAGAAACTTAACGAATTGGTCATAGCTGAACCAATCGTTGAGAAAAGGAAGATGATCACAAGCTTGCGGTACGGCTCGTTGGCCCAGACGTAACGAAAGCTTTCGCGGATGGGTAGCCGACGTTTGGTGGTTTCCCGTGCCGGATACTCTGGTACAACCATCAGCATATTCAGTACCAGGAAAGGCATGACAATGGCTAGGGCGATGGTCAGAAAATAGACGTTGTCGGTAGGTTTAGTGTACCCCCAGAAAACGATGATGGCTGGCGTCATAGCGCCAATTAAAGAGCCGGTCACGGTGAAAGCCTCTTTCCAGCTCATCACCAGAGTGCGTTCATTGTAGTCCTGGGCAAGCTCGGCTCCCCAGGCTGAGTAGGGGACATCTTTGATCGTGGCCCCAACGTACATGAGCACCAGCACCCCAAGCAGATAGGGATAACCAGAGTTCATAGTGAAACCCAGCACAGTGATCTCGCTGAACTCAAAGGGAGGGATCCACAGCAGCCAGACGCCGGCTATAAAAATGGGCGTGCCAATAAGAATGAAGGGTTTACGACGCCCCCAGCGTGTGCGTATACGATCAGAATAGAATCCGACCATCGGGTCTGTGATGCCATCAAATACCCGTGACAGAGCCAGCATCAAACCCACAAAACCCAGGCTCAAACCAAATCCGGCTGAATCTGCATAAACAGGTGTGAGATAAACGGCAAGCGGCAAGGAGACCATCGACAAAGGCATCGACGGGGCACCGTAAGATGCCAGCTTGAACATGTTCAGCGGCTTATGCTGTGACAAACAAAATCCTCCCCTCCCCAGGAATGAGGTCTAGAGAACATACCTGGGTTGGGGGAATTGATCTAGTGTTAGTGTGTCAGTACTTCGGAGCTGATCTGATACACCTTTTTCTGCGGGTTGTTTGAGTTAAGAACAAACGGCGCTGACCGGGTCAACAGCTGGTGGCGCTGCCAGAAATTCTCCCAGAGCGGGGAATAAAGCGGTGACTTCAGGGTGCTTACCGTGTGCTGCTCGAGCATCTTCATCGACATAACGTTCCATCATGAAGTATTTGCCCTCGGGGCCGCGGTACGGTGCATAAAGCAGTACACCTTCTTCCACCCGGTTGACGGCATCCGCCAGCGCGGTGATTGCCGTTTCAAATCCAGTTTCGCTGCCGGGTTTAACCGTGAAAGAGGCAACGTAACCCACCTCGTTTACATCGCACTGAGCCAGCGCAGGCGTTGATAAAAACAGTCCGCAGGTGACAAGCCCCAACGCGACTAGACGAATGGGTTGCTTTGTTTGACTCATGATCCCTTCTCCCGATACGAAATATAATGGTGGCGTTACCATAATGCGTGCCGGTGTGATCTACAAATTTAAAACGTCAGGCTCCGGATTGCTCGCTGAGGGTTTCCCACCGCAGGTAGGCGGCTTCAACAGCGGCTTCTGCATCTGCCAGATCAGCCAGCACTGCTTTGACCTGGTCGCTGTCGCCCTGATAAAAATCAGCGGCAACGACCTGATCCTGTAGCTGTTGTTGTCGAAGCTCTAACTTTTCAATGGTTTCCGGCAGGCGATCCAGTTCGCGTTGATCCTTGTAGCTTAGCTTTGTCGGCCGGCGGGCAGTCTTGTCAGCGCTGCTTGTTGTGTCGCTAGGCTTGTTTTGTTCCTTTTTTTGCGTTGTGGTTTTGCGTTGGCGTTGCCAGTCGCTGTATCCGCCTACGTATTCGGCAACGTTGTCGTCTTCGAAGGCGATGACGCTGGTAGCGACAGCATCGATGAATTTTCTATCATGGCTTACCAGCAGAACCGTGCCATCGTAGTCAGCCAGCAGTTCTTCGAATAACTCGAGTGTTTCCATGTCCAGATCGTTTGTTGGCTCGTCAAGTACCAGCAGGTTGGCGGGTTGCGCGAACAGTTTGGCCATCAGCAAGCGGTTCTTTTCTCCACCGGAGAGTTTTGCTACAGGCATGTTCAGGTAGCTGGAGGGGAAAAGAAAATCAGCCAGGTAGCCGACGATGTGTTTGGTGTTTTTGCCAACGGTGACGTGGTCAGAGCCAGGGCTGACATTGTTGCGCACGGTTTCCTGCATGTTCAAAACGCTGCGCTGCTGGTCGAAAAATGCAACCTGGAGCTTGGTGCCGCGTTCAACCGTGCCTTGCTGTGGTTGCAGATCGCCCAGCAGTAAACCCAAAAGAGTACTTTTGCCAGAGCCGTTAGGGCCAATGATGGCAACGCGGTCACCACGGGTAATGCGGGTCGAAAAATTTCGAATGAGGGGTTTGTCGTAACCAAAACTGACGTTTTCCAACACGGCAACAATTTGCCCGGATTTTTCCCCGCTGTCGATTTTGAGTTTGGCGTTGCCTTGTTTGCTGACACGCTGCTGTCGTGTTTGCCGCAAAGCTTCAAGGCGTCTTACGCGACCTTCGTTGCGCGTACGCCGCGCCTTGATACCCTGTCTGATCCAGACCTCTTCATTGGCCAAGTGCTGGTCAAATTTTCGGTTAGCGTCGGCTTCTTCAGCTTCAGCTTTTGCCCGTCCGACCAGATAGTCGGCATAGTTGCCTGGATAGCTTGTCAGGCTGCCGCGTTCCAGTTCAACGATACGGGTAGCAACATCATCGATCATGGCGCGGTCATGGCTGATCAGTATCATGGTGGTGTCTGCCGCCAGAATATGAGCTTGCAGGGTTTCAATAGATTCAATATCAAGATGGTTCGTCGGCTCATCCAACAGCAACAGGTCAGGTTCGCTGACCAACGCCTGTCCCAGCATTGCGCGACGACGGATGCCACCGGAGCTCTCACCCATAGTCTGATCGCGTGGTAGCTTGAGGAGGTCGAGAATTCGCTCTACTTTGTAGTCGGTTTGCCAGCTTTGTGCATCAGCGTCGGACGGGTCCAGACCCTGTGCAATAACGTCAAAGAGTGAAAGGTCCGCCGCTTCAGGTACTTCCTGCTGTAAATAGGCAATGCGTATCCCCGGTGCCATGCGTAACTCGCCATCGTCGAGGCCAACCTCTCCATTGATCACTTTCAGCAAAGTAGATTTTCCGGAACCATTACGACCGATCAGCGCAACGCGTTCGCCGCGATCAAGAATAAAGTGAGCATTGTGCAGCAGTGCCTGTTCACCAAAAGCCAGTTCTGCCTGTGTTAATCGCAGGATATTCAAAAGTGATTTCGCCGGAATATAAAGGGTGAGTATAAAGGTTTTTGTCTCCCAGGCCTTCTCCTGCCCCCAGGCAAAGGTCAGCCTTGAGAAAGTTCTGCTCGTACAGAAAGTCTGGCTTATGGCATGCTAGGTGCTTTCGGGTAAAGGGGATACAGCATGGGGCCAATTCCAAAAGGCGGCATAGTTGCGGTCACGGGAAGCGCGGGTTTTATTGGTGGCTGGGTGGTGCGGCGCCTGCTTGAAAAAGGCTACCGTGTGCGGGCTTGTGTGCGGGATGTTAATGATACCGCTAAAGTGGGTTTTCTGCAGGCGATGCCGGGTTATCTTTCCGGACGGTTAACGCTGCATGCCGCGGACCTGGATAACGACGGTTGTTTTGATGATATTTTTGCCGGCTGTCATGGTGTCTGCCATGTCTCACACGTGTCGGATTATGACGATGCAGGTTATGTACAGAGAGTCTGTGATCACATCATTGCCAGTATCAATAAGTCTCATTCTGTCAGCCGCGTGGTGGTGACCTCCAGTATTGCCGCTATCCTCTCTGAAGGAGATATTCACGAGTTAGTGCGCCGACCGGTGCTTTACGAAGATCGGCAACCGGATGAAAAAAGTCCGAAACGTACCGCCGCTCGAGGCCATGGTTATGCGATAGGTAAAGTGATTGCTCAGCGGGCATTTTCTGACGCTGCTGAAGAACAGGGAACCTGGGAGGCCATTACCTGTTGTCCAGCAGATAACGTTGGTCCCATTCAGTCGTTACACCAGAAAAATATGGGCCCCTGGCAACATATCATTGAAGGTATGTTGGAAGGCCAGTTTCACCAGACCGGTGCTTATCGACCCTGGATGACCGTTGATGTCCGCGACGATGCTGACTGTCACATTGGTCTGCTGGAAAGTACCCAGGTGAAAAATGGAGAGCGCTACATTGCCTGGTCAACTGATACGCGTAACGTCGAAGACGTGTGTGCCAGCATTGACCGTCTGCTACCTGAACTCAACTTTGATGCGCCGAGGGTTACAGACCCGTTCCCGGATCATGTGAAAGCGCGTGAAGCTGAACTGCGCTCGATCTGGGCCGGCTGTGATTTACGGAATGATCGAATTCGTGGGGTAACCGATATTTCCTTTCGAAGTCTCGACGATTCCATCAGGGATTGTGTGGAGTCACTGCTGGCGGTTGGCCAGGTTAAACCCAGGGTACGGAGTTAAACCACACCAGAATGCCGCAGCTGCGCAATCTCGGCGCTACTGTAGCCGAGGCTGGTGAGAATTTCCTCAGCATGTTCGCCTAATTCAGGTGCGCGACTGGGTGCTACCTGTGGTGCACTGGAAACGTTTACCGGGTGTTTGATCAGTTGCGGCAGGTGCATATTGTCTGGCGCAGCAACCGTCATCTGATTCTGCTGAATCTGTTGGTCCGTGAGGGTGTCTTCGATTCTTGCAACCAGATTCACCGGCACATCAAATTCCGCAAACTTCTGCAGCCAGTGTTGAGCGTTGCTGGTCTCAATAACAGCCTGCAGACAGTCACCCAGGGCTGCGCGATTCTGCCACGCTTTCTCCGGCGTATCGAAGCGCGGGTCGGTTAACAGGTCAAGGGCATCCATAGCAGCCAGGGTCATCGCAAACAACGACTCATCACGGACCATGTTCAGCTGGAGCCAGCGGTTGTCGGCTGTCTTGTAAGGGCGCAGCATGGCGCCGTTGACCCGATTGGTTTCTCGATAAGCTGGCATGTTGCCCCCAGCCATCGCGCCCTGAGCGATACCCGCCGCAGACCATAGACCATTGGCCAGCAGGGAAGTGTGCACAAAACTGCCTTCGCCGCTGCGCTCACGTTTCAGCAGGGCAGTCATGATGCCGGCAAATAACGCTACCGCGGTTGGATGATCACCCATGCCGGGTAACCCCTGGGTGGGTAGAGTGTCCGGTTCCCGCATCAGTTCCATCAGCCCACTGCGCGCCCAGTAAGCCAGTTGGTCAAAGCCTTTGCGATCCCGTTCAGGTCCCTGTTCGCCATAGGCGGTCAGAGAGGCGTAAATGATGTTTTCGTTTAAAGCACGGACTTCATCATAGGTGACGCCAAGTGCGTGCCGGACGGGGTAAGGGTGATTGGTGATGAAGACATCCGCCTGGCTGATCAGTCGCTGCAGAATGTCTATGCCTGCTGCATTTTTCAGATCCAGTACAAGGCTCTTTTTATTCCGACCGTCGAGCTGCCAGAACCAGTTTGTTTGTGCATCAGGTGTTGTCGGAATATCTGCGAGGATGCGCAACATATCGCCGGCGCCGGGTTGTTCGATTTTGATCACTTCGGCGCCAAAGTCCGCCAGCATGACCGCGGCTGCGGGAGCGGCAATCACGGTGGCGCAATCGATGACTTTTAAGCCGTTTAACAGGTGGGGATCCATGGGCTGCTCAATGAGATTTCGATCCATTTAACGAGATCATTTGGCATACTGCCAGTGTTTAGCGGAAATTAGGGGAGTGAAGGGAATGACAAAATTACAACTGTGGGTGGGTTTGGCTATTTTGCTCTCGCCAGCCCTGGGCTATGCGGAGTCCTGGCAGGATACGGTGGCGGCACGTACTGCTGCAATTGAATCCAAGGTCGTTGCGATTCGCCACGATCTGCATGCACATCCGGAACTGGGTAACCGCGAGTTTAAAACTGCAGCCAAGATAGCGGAACACCTGCGCGCTTTGAATTTTGATGAAGTACAAACCGGCGTTGCTCACACGGGTGTGGTCGGTATTCTGAAAGGCCGCAGCGACTACCCTGTGGTTGCCCTTCGTGCGGATATGGACGGACTGCCGGTGACCGAAAAAACCGGCCTGCCTTTTGCTTCAAAGGTAACAACACAGTGGCGCGGTCGCGAAACCGGTGTCATGCATGCCTGCGGTCACGATGCGCATATGGCTATCCTGATGGGTGTGGCGGAAATTCTTGCCGGGATGCGCGAGGACATTCCAGGGACTGTGAAGTTTATATTCCAGCCCGCCGAAGAAGGCGCCCCTGAAGGAGAAGAGGGCGGCGCTGACCTGATGATCAAAGAAGGCGTGCTCGAAGGTCCGTATGCGCCGGGTGCCATTTTTGGTTTGCACGTGTTTCCGGTGCCTGCGGGCATGATCAGCTATCGCCCCGAGGGTATGTTGGCGGCATCTGATGGGCTCTCTATTACGGTGAAAGGCGTCCAGACACATGGCTCTTCGCCCTGGGCCGGTGTTGACCCTATTGCTGTATCCGCGCAGATCATCAACAGCCTGCAACATGTTGTGAGCCGGCAGCTGGACCTCACAACGGCGCCTGCGGTCATCACTATTGGTTCAATTAATGGGGGCAATAGGGGCAATATCATTCCGGAAGAAGTTGTCATGACCGGTACCATCCGTACGCTGGATCCGCAGATGCGCACGGATGTACACGCGCGGATAAAGAAAACTGTCAGGCTTGTGGCCGAAAGTGCTGGCGCAGAAGTGGATGTGGTGGTCCATGAAGGCTACCCGGTAACCTACAACGACCCTGCGCTGACTGCCCGTATGGCACCCGTACTGTCCCGCGTGGCTAAAGATGGCCAGGCAATAGTCGCCAAGCCGGTCCTCGGTGCTGAAGACTTTTCCTATTTTGCAAACGAGATCCCGGGCCTGTTTTTTGGCCTTGGCGTAGCAAAAGAAGGCGTAGCCCTGGGACAAAGTGCGTCAAATCACTCACCGTACTTCTACGTCAATGACAGCGCGCTGCCGGTTGGCATGAAGGCTTTGAGTCATCTGGCGCTGGAATGGCTGCACGATGCCAGTGATACACCTTAGTCGCGTTCAAAGGGGTAGGTGGCACCTTCGGGAAGTTCGACGTCAAAGCCGTTAAGGGTCATTGAAACCAGGCCGTAAAAACCACACAGGCCGATGAGTTCAGCGACACCAGTTTCACCAAACTGCGTTACCGCGTCATTAAAAGCTGCAGTGCTGAGTTTGCGGGTGTTGTGTAACTGATTGGCCAGGACGTAAGCCGCTTCGTCGCCGCTGTCTTCGAACTCAGGCGTCTCACCTGCCTTGATAGCGGCGATGACCGCTTCTGGGACGCCCGCTTCGCGTGCCATGGGTTCGTGAGCAAACCACTCGAATTGAGCGCGCCAGTGGGCACCGGTGACTAAGATGGCCAGTTCAATGTAACGCCGATCAACGCTGGTGCGAAAGCGGAAAAAGCCCCCCAGACCAACCAGGCGTTTGCCCATTTCCGGGCTGCGTAGCCAGACATCAAAAGGTCCACCTATGTGGCCGTCTGCTGGTTTAACCGGCCGGTTGGCAACAATTTCGTCAAAGGTAGCCTGTTGTGCGGGTGTGAGCTCAGCGTAGGGCTTTTTTATCAAACGGGTCATGGGTCTCTCCGAAAAGTCTTGCTGGGAGCTTAACGCCAAACCCTGGTAAGCTGAAAGCTCTGCTGCGAATGAGCAGGCTGAAGTCATAAATACGCATCCAAGAGGGGGAGAGCGAGTGATAGATTTGAATGGACGGGTGGCGCTGATTACCGGCGCAGGTAGTGGGATTGGACGCGCCAGCGCGATTAACATGGCGGCTAACGGTGCTGCCGTGATGTGTACAGATTTAGATTTGCAAGCTGCTGAAGGCACTGTTGCAGCTATTTCTGAGGCCGGCGGCAAAGCGGACAGCATCGGTCTGGACGTTTCGGAAAGTGCCGAGGTCGAGCGTGCCGTGGCACAAACCGTGGAGCGAATGGGCAAGCTCAATGTGTTGTTCAATAACGCAGGCGTGGGTGGCGGTTTTGACTGGCATCAGACAATTGCTGTGAATCTCACCGGCGTCTACTACGGGCTTTTGCATGCAGCACCGCATATGGCGGCCAATGGTGGTGGTGTGATCATCAATACAGCATCTGTTGCTGGTCTGGTTGGGCTGACCGGACCTGAAGTTCATCCAGGCAATGAAGATGAAGGTGGTGCTGGTGCTTATGTGGCGGCGAAACACGGTGTTATTGGTTTGACCAAACAGTTTGCTGTGAATTATGGACGTTACGGCGTTCGCGTGAATGCGATTGCGCCGGGGTACATCTATACCGCGATGACCGCAGAATTGCGGGAATTGGAGGAGGGAGAAGCCTATCTCACAGATCTGCATCCCATGGGTCGTCTTGGCCAGCCGGAAGAAATAGCCTCTGTTGCCAGTTTTCTCGCCAGCGACGCAGCAAGTTTCATCAATGGCGTGGTGCTGCCCGTAGATGGTGGTTATACCGCGCGCTAATTTATCTCTAGAGGAGAATTTCATGTCCGTAACAGGTCAATGCCTTTGTGGCGATATCAAATACAGCATCGACAACACCCCGGAGATCACGGGGGTGTGCCATTGCAAAAACTGTCAGCGCCAGGCGGGCTCTGCATTTTCCACGTTGGCCTCCGTGCCCAAAGGAGAGTTCCACCTTGTCAGTGGCGAACCTGCGTTGTATCAGGATACTGATACTGACTCTGGCAATTCGGTTGATCGATTTTTCTGCGGCCGGTGTGGGTCGCCCATCTATTCAGCCCTCGGTGCCCAGCCGGATGCGGTGTTTCTGAAGACAGGAACATTAGATGACACATCCTCATTCAAGCCGCTTTTTCATGTGTGGAGTGACAGCAAGCAGAACTGGGTGTCACTGGAAGAAGGTGTGCCGGCCCTGGGTAAGCAGGCTTAAGCCCGTCAGACGCTAGCCTTTCGGACCTGAATTTTTCAGGCCATGACGTTTTTTGTGTTTTGTGGTTCGCGCAGGCGTGAGTAGAAGGATAAGTCCACCTCACGCTGTACGTTGGGCAGCGTGAGCCACACACTGTCCGGGTCTTCGGCAGTGATGATCCGGGTCATTATGTCGCCGATGACCGGAGCATTTTTAAACTGATTACCACTGGTACCAATCGCTACAAAATAGCCGGGCAGGTCGGTGCGGTCGTAAATCGGAATCCAATCTTTGGATACATCGTACAAGCCAACTGTTCCCCGCGCGGTGTTTTCGATGGCAAGATCAGGGAACCTTAATGCCGCGCGGTACACCTGCTGTGTCCATTGTCCTGTTAAGCTGGTGCTGTAGTTATCCGGATCTGCGACGTCAGCCGGGTCACAGGTTGGGTCTGCTGAACCGATAAGGACATCGGCACCATCACCGCGTTGGTAAATGCCGGTATCCAGATCCACCAGAAAACCCTGCTGGTTCATGTTGGACCCAGGTGACTTCAGGTAGGCAACTTCATGACGTTCCGCCCGGGTCTCAATGTTGGTGATCCCCGCCATAAGGTTGATGTGTTTTGAGTGTGGGCCAGCGGCGTTGATGACAATGGGCGCGCTGATCTTTTCGCCCGTGTGCAATACAACCCCTGCAGTGCTTGTGTTGGACTGAGTGATCTCAGTGACCCGGGTGTTAAACCTGAATTCAACCCCCGCTCGCTCTGCCGCGTGATACAGATTGTGTGTGGCCAGTTGTGGGTCGTTAACGTGGCCGCAGGCGTCTAGCCAGATGCCTTTTCTGATCATCTGACCATTGCTCTGGCCAAAGTTATCGTCTTCGATGCGCCGCGGTGGCGCAAAGCTCTGTAACTGGATGCTGGGATACTTTTGCTGCAGATCTTGTTCAGATAACCAATGATACTCAACGCCAACCGCCTGCAAAGCGTCAATATTTGCCGCGTAGTCGGATTCTGTGCCTTCGGCAACAAGTATCACACCGCCAGTCTCATCATAACGAGCGAGTCCCAGCGGATCGGCTGTACCTAAAAATTCGGACCAGTGTTGCCAGCGTGCTCGCGATTCATGGGCAATGGCACAAGCCGTGATGTGTGAGTAGAACGGGCGGATGATGGCGGATGAATAACTGGTGGAGCCGTAACCCGGTGCGGGCAGTGCATCCACGTTAAGACTTCTGATGCCGGCGCGAGCCAGGCTCAGCGCAATCGAACAGCCGACCACACCGGCGCCGATGATGATGACATCGAAGGTTTTCATGGCAGAAGATTCCAGTCCAGCGCGGTTGCTCGCAGTCTATCCATGAGCGAGGATATTGTTAAATATTCATTTTGGGGAAGAGGGTATGGCTGGCGCACTTGAAGGCATCAAGGTTCTCGATGTGGGGCAACTGGTGCAGGGGCCACAAGCGGCAGCTACCCTGTGCGACATGGGTGCAGAGGTGACCAAGGTGGAACTGCCCGGTGTCGGCGATCTGTCACGCTGGATATTCATCAGTGAAGACGATTCACGCAGCGCCTACTTTCACGCCTGTAACCGTGGCAAGAAGAGTATGACGCTGGATCTGCGGGTTCCGGAAGGGGTTGAGATTTTCAAAGCGCTGGCCGCTGAGGCTGATATTGTTCTCAGTAACTTCAAAGCCGGCACCATGGAAGCCTGGGGTTTGGGGTTCGAGGATCTTGCTGCGGTGAACCCTGGTTTGATCTGGGCGGCGGGCAGCGCCTTCGGGCACTTAGGTGCAGATGCGGATCGCGAAGGTGCAGACCTTGCCGGACAGTGTGCGGGCGGATTGATCAGTACCATCGGCCATGATGGTGCACCGGCGTCTCCAGTAGGCGTCACCATTGCAGATCATATTGCATCCCAGAACATGCTTGCTGGCATCCTTGCGGCGCTGGTCAGCCGGGGCCGCACCGGCAAAGGGCAGCGCATCGATGTATCGCTTCTGGGCGGTCAGGTGTGGGCGCAGGCAGCTGAATACAGTCACTTTCTGTTAAGTGGTGAAGTCCCCGGCCGGTCGAACGGTGGTCACCCTTTACTGCGTGGAATGTATGGCATTTTTGCCACGGCAGATGGTTGGATCGGCATTATTGGTGTGTCCCCGGACGCGCGTGATGCGTTCTATATCGCGATGGATAAACCCGAACTTGCCCTGGACCCTCGCTTCCAGGGTTTATTGGCAAGCCGGGAAGATATGCAGTTCCTGTTTGCTGAGCTGACACCTGCGTTTCAGCAGAAGACCACCGCGCAGTGGTGTGAGGTGCTGCGTGAAATGGGGGTGCGCTATGCCCCGGTCAGGAATTATGCCGAGGCGGCGGACGATCCTGGTATGTGGAAAAATGGTTATCTGCAGAATGTTTCAGCAAGTGACGGTAAAGATATTGCCGTTGTGGGTACGCCGATCGGCATGAGTGCAACGCCTTTACAGCCCCAGGCAGAAGCGCCGGAATTAGGTGCCGATACACAACACGTGCTGAGCGGGTTGGGTTACAGCGATGCGCAGATTGATGCCTTTCGCGAGCGAGCGATCATATGAGGCTCAATGCTGGCAGTTTCCAGCCATCTTGGTTCAATTTATAGTGGTCCAATCTATATTGGTGTCATCGACACCTTTTTATTTTCTCTGGGAGTGGGTTTATGAATAAAGTAGCAGGTTTGCATCATCTGGCCATCTGCACCGCCAACATGAAAGAACAGATTGAATTCTTCACTGACAAATTAGGTATGGAGCTGCAGGCGCTGTACTGGATGCACGGCGTTGAAAATACCTGGCATGGCTTTCTCAGGCTGAATGACGAAAGTGCCATCGCGTTTGTCTGCAATCCAGACATAGAAGGGATTGAAGTACACCTCGGTGCTACCCACGCTGGCAATCCAGGCGCAAATTCCGCCCGTGGGACCATGCAACACCTGGCGTTCAAAGTGGAGAACCACGAAGAACTCATGGCGATGCGTGACCGCCTCCGCAGCAAAGGTGTGCCGGTTATGGGTCCGGTCAATCACGGTATGTGTGTCTCCATGTATTTTGCCGGGCCAGAAAATCTCTCGTTGGAATTGTCGTATTCTGAAGAACCGATCAATGCAGATCTGTGGATTGATCCGGAAGTGGTGGAGCTGGCTGGCATATCCGCGGAGGAACTGGCGCGTTACAAACAACCGGCACCATTTGCCGATCAGGCAGGTGGTGTCGCGCAACCGTCGCTGTCCGGCGACGGACCGCATATGACTAACTATCCACCGGGTGTGTATGAAGGCGTTATGTCGGTGCCGGATGAAGTCATGTGGGATTCGCTGGAAAGTGAACCGCCGGTAAAACAAGCGGGCTGAACACGCTGGTCTAACAAAATTATTCTGTGAGATAAGGGGAAGATAGTTATGTCGTTACGGGAAGTAGATCCAGATGCGCTGAAGCGCTATTCATTTGCAGTGTGGTCGTACAAACAGGGGGAAATGGTCTCGCTGATGATTCAGATCGGTGATCGCCTTGGTTTGTATCGCGCTCTGGAAGGTGCTGGTGCAGTGTCAGCTGCGCAACTGGCGCAAAGCACTGGTCTGCAGGAACGCTGGTTGCTTGAATGGTTGCGCGGTCAGGCCGCTGCCCGGTTGCTTGAGTATCATGACGGTGATCTGTTTGAGCTTTCACCGGAAGGGGCGGCAGTACTGGCTAACGAGGCGGACAGTCTGTCGTTTGCCGCTGGGGCATTCTCCGGTGCTGCACCGCCAGAAACCGTCGACAAACTGATTGAGGCGTTCAAAACCGGCATCGGCCTGTCCTATGAAGAACTCGGTCCCAATGCCGCTCATCGTACTGAACGCATGTTAGGACCCTGGACGCGACAGGAGCTGGTGCCCAAAATAATTCCTGCCCTCGACGGCGTTGCCGACAAACTGGCCGCAGGTGGGGTTGCCGCTGACGTCGGTTGTGGCGGTGGTGTTGCGCTGATGGCTATGGCGCAGGCTTTTCCCAATACTCAATTCCACGGTTACGATCCCAGCAACCATGCCATAGATCGCTGTCGTGACAAGGTCGCGGAACTCGGTTTGAAAAACGTGGAGTTATTTGTTGCCGGCGGTGAAAAACTACCTGCTACGCCAACCTATGATTTTTTGATTACCTTTGATTGTCTGCACGATATGACAGCGCCCGGTTCCGTCATACATGCCATCCGTCAGGCCATGAAGCCGGATGGTACCTGGCTGATCAAAGACATACGCAGCGATCCGGATTTCAAGGTCAATATGCGTAATCCGCTGCTGGCTATGTTTTACGGTTTTTCTGTGTCAGCTTGTATGTCATCCGCTTTATCTGAACCAGGTGGCGCTGGCTTGGGGACCTTGGGCTTTAACCCTGAAGTTGCGCGCAATATGGTGACGGAAGCGGGTTTCTCGAAATTTCAACTGCACGACTTTGAAGATCCGAGCAACCTGTATTACGAAGTCAGCCCTTAGCTGACGCGGACACCCACCTCAGCAGACCCCGCTCGATGCCACATCTGCGGCATCGAGCTTTATCAAGTTTAAGTACTCGACGATGTCGTTGGGCAACGATGCTTTTACAATGCAGGCATTCCAGCAGCCATTTGTGGTTGGGCATGCGCGCGGTGTCATGGGTGACATCGGTGGACGCGCCGATACGTTGCGCGGTTGCTTTCCATTGCGGCCCATGACCTATGCCAGGGCCACACAGGGCATGAGCGATCTCGTGCAGTATTGTGTTGCGGATATCTGTTAGATCGTTCTGCGCGATGTAATGTTTAGAGAGCGTGATTTCCCTGCTCTGAAAGTGGCAGGCGCCCAGGCGCTGACGAGCATGATCGAGCCGGAAGCGCCATTGCGTCAGGCCTTGCGCCTGCATGAGCTCAAGTGCCATCTGGCGCACGTTCTCCTGGTGGACGTTCATGTCAGGAAAATCTGTTACCAGTGCTGACGACTGGCTATCGAACTGGCAGTAGTGAAAATTTCGTTGCGCAGCTGACCGAGGCGCGCGTTAGCGTTGTTGAATTTCAACGGGTTTTCCTCCTCCCAGTGCCGGGCAATGACCACATCAGAAAAAGTATCTTCCCCACCGTAGCAGCCCAGTATGAATGTAGCACCAGCCAGCTTGTTCTCATCAACCTGCTTTAAACCGCGTTTTATGTAAGCCACCCAGAAGCGATCTTCGCTTTCTTCGAGCAGGCTGATGAGTTGGTTCAGCTGTTGTGATAACGCTGCAAATTGTCCGTTCAGGGAGGTTGCCATCAGAATGAGTGGCGCTGACTAGGACGGGTCGACGTTGGCAATGTAACCAACGTCAGGTGGCGTCTGGCCAGCAAGCAGCTTGCTGTAGAGTTTGCCAACCGCCTCTTCGCCGCGGCAATTCTCCACGGTGACCCAGTCGCCGACTTTGGTAGTAAATGCCTGCCAGCCCGCGTCGAACTTATTTTCCAGCCCCCCTGGACCCCATTGAGCGCTGCGCTCCTTGATGTGATTTGGAGCGAAGAACAGCTCGGGTTTAGGACCTGCCATATCTTGTGCGCCGCTTCTTTCGCTCCAGTGCGTCGCGCCCACCAGGCAGCTGTAACGCAGCGCGCTGTCAAAGTGATTATGCACCGCAGCCAACGTGCTGCCGTTGCCAGCCATGTCAACAATGACACTGTGGGTGGCGGCATCCAGAGTGGCTATGCTGTCGTAAGGGACCACTTGGTCGTAGAAACCCAGGCCGTTCACAAAATCGACATTGTCAGGCGACGTGAGGCCAACAACTTTGATGTCCTCGCGCTGAGCAAGCATGAAAGCCAGGCCGAAAGAGGTTTTGCTTGAGGCGCTGGTGAGAATGATCTGCCGCGCGCCAAAAAACTCGTTATGTGCCAGGAAATCATCGAGCAGCCAGGAGGTCATAAACAATGGCCGGTACAGCATCTGCAGGGCATCGGCATCAGCATCAGGTGGGTTGTTTACGCGTAGCAGCTGGTTGTAAACCGGCGCCAGACCGGCACGATGCGCAGAACCGTCTATCAGCTGTTTGTCGCTCACGCGTTCTGCCTGAATAATCAGCTGTGTGCCCATGGGAAGATAGCCATAAACCCGGTCACCTTTAGTAACGTCCGGGTGCTTGGATGCGCTGACGTGGGCAAACCCCCATACAGGGATGCGTCCCCAGTTCTCCTGCGCTGGAAAAAACTGCCAGTAACCCATGCTGTCGCCGGCGACCGCATAAGTAATATTGTTGGCAGTCAAGGCGAAGTTTTCAACTTCCAGTAAAACCTGACCGTCGACTAAGTCTGCGGCAGCCAACTTTGGGCTGTGTTCAAATTTGAAGGTGCTGAGGTCATTTTTTGCAACCAGCATCTGCGTATTCTGAGGGGCGGATGTGTTCATGTAGAGCCTTTAGTTGTGTTTGATGCGCTTGATGACAGCTTGCGCAAATTCAGCTGTGCCCAGGTTGCCGCCCAGGTCGCGAGTCTTTTCGCCGGCTTGCAAGGCTTCGTCATAGGCCTCGCGAATGCGGGCGGCCACGTCCAGCAGGCTATTGTCTTCGGTGGTCTCGGCAAGATAATTCAACATCATTACAGCCGACATCAATAACGCCAATGGATTCGCAATGTTCTTGCCCGCAATGTCTGGCGCAGAGCCATGTACAGCTTCGAAAATAGCTTCTTTTTCACCGTAGTTTGCGCCGGGTACGACACCCAGGCCACCAACCAGGCCGGCACACAGATCGCTGATCACATCGCCGTACAGGTTTTCAAGTAACAAGACATCAAACTGGGAAGGGTCCTGCACAAGTCGCATGCAGCCGGCGTCGATGATAGCGCTGGTGTACTCTATATTCGGATAATCGTGGCGGTGGGTGTATTCCGCACTGCGTAAAAACAGACCATCGGTCATTTTCATGATGTTGGCTTTGTGGAAGACTGTGATTTTTTCGCGCTGGCGTTGTGTGGCAAAACGAAACGCCCATTTGGCAATGCGTTCGCAACCATTTTCCGTTGCTACTTTCATGCTCATCACAACGCCGGGTGTGACTTCGTTCTCTACGCCACTGTACAAGCCTTCCGTGTTTTCCCGGATGATGATCAGGTCCACATCTTCGTAGCGGGTTTTAACCCCGGGTAAACTGCGCACCGGGCGGACTGCCGCATACAAATCAAAGGTTTTGCGCAGCTGTACGTTAACTGATGAGAAACCTTCTCCTACTGGCGTGGTGCAGGGACCTTTGAGGGCAACGCCATGGTGCTCAATGGCTTCAAGGGTGTCGGCAGGCAGCACTTCACCGCTTGTCTCCAGCGCTGTGATACCGGCCTGGTGGCGTACCCATTCGATTTGTGCGCCCGCAGCCTCAAGCACCGCAAGCACGGCGTCTGTGATTTCCGGACCAATACCATCGCCAGGAATCAGTACTACTGTGTGCACTGCCATGAAAGTTTCCCTTTTAGTCTGTTTTCAATTGCTGCCTATTATCCGTGATCCTGGCTGGTAAACCTAGAGGGAGGCTGGCTTTGGCTCTCCCTCAAACACTGGTCGCAGCTTTTCGAACTCGTCTGTCAGATAACTGGTGAACGCACGAAAGCGCTGCAGTCGGCGCAGTCGAGGGTGGTAAAGCAGCCATAGCTCGGTGAACCCCTCTGAGCGGGGTTCACCGATGCGGGTCAGGCGATGATCTGCTTCGGCGACATAGCAGGGCAGCACGGCAACCGCTTTGCTGGCCGCGACATATTCGCGAATAAAATCTGTTGAGTTGCTGTGTAGTGCAGCCTGTGATCTGGCATTCAGGGTTGTCTCCAGCCACACGGTCATGCTGTCGGAGCTGAACAGCTTACTGCCGGTGGCGGACTGTAGAGAAACCACATCGACAACTGACTGCCCTTGCAGTTCCTGGGCCGCATCTGCCGAGGCATAAATGCCAACCATGGGTTTAACCAATTTGCGCCCGACCAGGTTTTCCGGAGGTTTAGAGGTCAGGCGCAGTGCCACGTCCGCCTCCATCATTTCCAAGTCTTCCGATGCGTTGGTGGCGCTTACTTCCAACAGAATCTCAGGGTGAAGGGTGCTGAAGTGGGCTAACTGGCTGGCGATAAGATTGCCGATGGCAGGCGTGACAGTGACACGAATAGCTCCGGCCAGCTGCTGATCTCTACCAAAAACCCGCCGCTGCAGGCTTTGAAATTCGCCGTCAATGATCTCTGCAGTGGCGGCAGCCTCGCGCCCCGCGTCGGTGAGGACCAGGTCTCTGCCCATGCGTTCGACCAGTTTGGTGCCCAACGCCGCTTCCAGCTGACTGATGCGTCGTGCCACGGTAGTGCGATTCACACTGATCGCCTCTGCAGCACTGGGTAGGGAGCCATGTTTTGCAAGCGCGTACAGGTGGTGAAGGTCGTTCCAATCAAGCATGTAGCCCCCAATTGAGTGGTTTTGTGGTGAGTAAAATCGCGCCCACTGGACTTTTGTTAGACAATTTTTGAGATTTACTGGCTACCAGTCCCGCGTCTGTGTATCTTGCCGGGGCGAGTATTACGTTACAACTTGTAACAAAAACTATTTTAAAGTGGAGAGAAGTATCAGTGAGAGATGATATTTTGAGTTGGCGGGTCAAATATGGCCTGCGTTTAGGATTTCTGATTACAGCAATGTCCCTTCTGTTTCCCGTCGCGCATGCAGAAATTGAAGAAATTGTCGTCACCGCGCAGAAAAGAGAAGAAAGTGTCCAAGATGTGCCTATCAGCGTGTCTGCATTTGATAATGCAGCGCTTGAAGCCCGTCAGATTGACACCTTCAGCGATCTGCAGTTCAACGTGCCCAATGTGTCTTACTCAAAAGGCAACTTTTCCGGCAATAATTTCCAGATCCGCGGTATCGGCACGCTACTCACCGCAACCAGCTCCGATTCCGGCGTGGGCATGCACATCAACGATGTGTATCTGAACTCACCACGGATTTTTGAAACTGAATACTATGATGTTGCTCAGCTCGAAGTACTGCGCGGACCTCAGGGCACGCTGTTCGGCCGTAACGCTACGGGCGGAGCGGTCAACCTGAAAACTGCGCGTCCAGAGATGGATGAGCTCTATGCCGATATCGAATTGCAGTATGGCGATTATGATCACGGCAAAGTCAAAGGTGCTGTGAATATTCCAATTGCGGACGGTATTGCCGGTCGCATCGCGGGCATCTGGGTTAATCGCGACGGTTACAGCGAAAACCTGGTGACGGGCAACGACGTCGACGACCGTGATCAGTGGTCTCTGCGCGGCTCGCTGCGTTTCGAAATCAACGATTCCACCACCCTGGATCTGATTGGTCATATCTTTGAAGAGGACAGCTCGCGTAGCCGTTCCCAGAAACAGTTCTGTAACCAGGATCCGAGTGCAATTTTAGGCTGTACGCCTGATGGCCTTGGTCTGGAGCCGATTAACACCTTCGCCACGGCGGGTACTGCGCTTTCCTCAACATTGTTGTTGGGTCCGTTGGGCGTGTTTGATTTCTTCGACCAGAACCTGGATCCCTCCTTCGGCAATCCGCGTGATCTGCGTGATGTGCGTCTGACCTATGAGCCTGAATACGAAGCTGAGGAAAATTTCTACATGGCTGAGCTGGTCAGCGATATTTCTGAAACGTTGACGGTGACTGCCATTGCCGCTTTCCAGGACACAGAAGTCATCTCCCGTCAGGACTATAACGGCACAGCTGCTGATCCCGGCGCTGCAGTGATTCCGCCTGCGTTTTGTGTAGTTTCACCCGCAGCCTGTACATTCTTCGGCACCTCTGCCGGTGGTCCTATTCCGGTGACTACGGTGCCTAATCCGAATACGTCGCTGGGCATCATTGGTGGACCCAATGAATTTACCCTGGATACCCGTGGTGCAGGTCGTGACCTATCGCTGCAGGAGTCAGAGCAGTGGAGTACTGAGCTGCGTCTTGCCAGCTCGTTTAATGGTCCTCTCAACTTCCTGTTAGCCGGTTACTTCCTCGATTTTGAAACGGAAACGGACTACTTTGTGCAGGCGCCGGGTCTTGATTATGCAACGATTGCGTTGGCTACCCCCGGCACACCTTTCCAGGGCAGCGCTGATCAGTTCCTCGCGTTGTCACCAGGTTACTTTAACTCTGAAACCGATTCGTTTGAGCTGGAAAGCACCGGTATTTTTGGTGAGCTTTATTACGAAGCCACGGAAACGCTGAAGTTTACCCTCGGTCTTCGCTGGACGCGTGATGAGAAATCACTGCGTGACCGACAGTTGTTCCTGAACCTGCCTGTGCTGGTTGACCTGCCTTCCAACACCACCAGTTTTGTTGGCAGTGATGGTTCCATTACACCGATCACCAACATCACTGAGTTAACCACCGCGGCCGCTGCTGTGGGCGACTTTGATGCTGATCCGAACGTACCTGGTGCGCAGGTTTATCGCGAAGACGACATTGCTTTTGAGGAAATTACCGGTCGTTTTGTTGTGGATTGGGTGCCCACCGTCGACTTTACCGATGAGACCCTGGTGTACTTCTCCTACTCACGTGGCTACAAGTCAGGTGGCATTAACCCGCCAATTGACACGAACCTGTTCCCGAACACGCCAACCTCTTTCGAACCGGAGAAAATTGATGCGTTTGAGATTGGCACGAAAAACACTTTCCTGGATCGCACCATGCAGGCCAACTTCAGCGTGTTCTACTATGACTATGGTGATCTGCAGATCGGCAAAATTATTAACCGTACCTCGGTTAACGAAAACACCGATGCAGACATCTTCGGTGCCGAGCTGGAGCTGCTGTATGCGCCTAATGAAAACTGGCAGTTCAATGCCGCTGTTTCCTACCTTGATACGGAGTTAGGTGAGACTGAAACCATTGACCCGCGCGATCCTACCCAGGGCCGTCAGGATGTGACTCTGTTGAAAGACTTCGTTGATGCCAGCAACTGTGTTGTCGAACATGGTGGACTCGGACCGCTGTCTGATAACGCAGCGTTTGTTGCGGCGGTCCAAGGGGCCGGTGCACCGTATCTGCCTACCGGGCGTGATCTGGGTGCCTTTGGCGGCCCTGCGGGTCAGGTGATACCCACAACACCAGGTGTGTCCGATTCAGCCTTCACCGCTTGTGCGGCTGCAGCTGCGATCGCTCCTCTGTTTGGGTACAACTATCTCGACTCAGTGCAGACAAACCTTGATGGTAACAACCTGCTCAACGCACCGGAGCTGACCTTCAGTGCCGGCGCTGAATATACCCACTACTTTGATGGTGGTATTTCAGCCACTGCCCGTGTTGACTACTACTGGCAGGACGAGTTCTACAGCACCACGTTCAACCGCGCTCAGGACCTGATTGATTCGTGGGATGTATGGAATGCTCAATTCACCGTCTATGGCAAAGACCAGCAGTGGTATGCCAAGTTCTTTGTACAGAACATCGAAGATGACGATGAAATTGTGGGTACTACCAGACTGACCCGTCTTCAGGTTTGTTTACTAACGCGTTCTTCATAGAGCCGCGTCTGTACGGCCTGACTGTGGGTGTCAGCTTGAACTAAGAATCGGAAGCCTGCGTTCCGAATAAAAAACCCCGGCTTTAATCAGTCGGGGTTTTTTTTGCCTGCTGGCAGGCGAATTCTTCAACGTTCATGGGTAAACCTAAGTGGAAGCCCTGGCCATAGCCGCAATCCATTTCTCGCAAAGCATCAAGTGTGTCTTCGTCTTCAATACCCTCAGCAATGCAGGGGATGTTCAATGTGTTTGCCAGCGAAATCACCGTTTGCGAGATTTGTCGGGCATCATCATTGTTGATCACGTTTCCGCACAGGCTGCGGTCGATCTTGATTTCATCCAGGGGCAGTTCTCGGATCCGCAGCATGTTGGAGTGGTCGGAGCCGAAGTCATCCAGTGAGATTTTAAAGCCCTGCAGGCGTATGTCCTGTAGCAGCGATTTTGACACTTCGAGATCAAACAATTCCTTGCTCTCGGTGATCTCCAGCATGATCTGCTCTGGATCCACGCCCCAGAGGTGAGTTTCGCGCCTGATAAAGTCGAGAAAATCCGGTTGTGTCAGAGAGCTCGGGTCTATGTTGAAGGAAATAGGTACAGTCAGCTCATGTTCAACAATCTCTCTCAGTACCCGACGATATCCATAAATGGTCAGTTCCCACAGCATTTCATCACTCAGGGCTGCCAGATATTCGTCAGGTGGAATAATACGACCGTTGTCGCGCCAGCGTATGAGTGCTTCGCCGCCGCTGATAGACCGTGTCTTCAGGTCGAACTTTGGCTGGTAGTCGAACGAGATGTGGTGATTGTCCATTGCTGTTTTAATGCGCTGGCTTAACTGCCAGTCATGATCAACAGGCGCGATGTTTTCGGTGCTGGCAATGGCAAAGCTCTTGTTCTCGAAGATGGCGGTCATGCAGGTGTTTTCCGCCTGCTGATATAAGTCGT